TAACATTAGGTGACTTTACTAAGGCTGACGTGTACACTAGTAATTAGATAATTAACATTAGGTGACTTTACTAAGGCTGACGTGTACACTAGTAATTAGATAATTAACTACATTAGGTGACTTTACTAAGGCTGACGTGTACACTAGTAATTAGATAATTAACTACATTAGGTGACTTTACTAAGGCTGACGTGTACACTAGTAATTAGATAATTAACTACATTAGGTGACTTTACTAAGGCTGACGTGTACACTAGTAATTAGATAATTATTAGATAATTGTAACTAGTAATTAGATAATTAACATTAGGTGACTTTACTAAGGCTGACGTGTACACTAGTAATTAGATAATTAACATTAGGTGACTTTACTAAGGCTGACGTGTACACTAGTAATTAGATAATTAACTTACATTTAGGTGACTGTACACTAGTAATTAGATAATTAACATTAGGTGACTTTACTAAGGCTGACGTGTACACTAGTAATTAGATAATTAACTACATTAGGTGACTTTACTAAGGCTGACGTGTACACTAGTAATTAGATAATTAACATTAGGTGACTTTACTAAGGCTGACGTGTACACTAGTAATTAGATAATTAACATTAGGTGACTTTACTAAGGCTGACGTGTACACTAGTAATTAGATAATTAACTACATTAGGTGACTTTACTAAGGCTGACGTGTACACTAGTAATTAGATAATTAACATTAGGTGACTTTACTAAGGCTGACGTGTACACTAGTAATTAGATAATTAACTACATTAGGTGACTTTACTAAGGCTGACGTGTACACTAGTAATTAGATAATTAACATTAGGTGACTTTACTAAGGCTGACGTGTACACTAGTAATTAGATAATTAACATTAGGTGACTTTACTAAGGCTGACGTGTACACTAGTAATTAGATAATTAACTACATTAGGTGACTTTACTAAGGCTGACGTGTACACTAGTAATTAGATAATTAACTACATTAGGTGACTTTACTAAGGCTGACGTGTACACTAGTAATTAGATAATTAACTACATTAGGTGACTTTACTAAGTCTGACGTGTACACTAGTAATTAGATAATTAACTAAGGCTGACGTGTACACTAGTAATTAGATAATTAACTACATTAGGTGACTTTACTAAGGCTGACGTGTACACTAGTAATTAGATAATTAACATTAGGTGACTTTACTAAGGCTGACGTGTACACTAGTAATTAGATAATTAACATTAGGTGACTTTACTAAGGCTGACGTGTACACTAGTAATTAGATAATTAACTACATTAGGTGACTTTACTAAGGCTGACGTGTACACTAGTAATTAGATAATTAACATTAGGTGGGTTTACTAAGGCTGACGTGTACACTAGTAATTAGATAATTAACTACATTAGGTGACTTTACTAAGGCTGACGTGTACACTAGTAATTAGATAATTAACATTAGGTGACTTTACTAAGGCTGACGTGTACACTAGTAATTAGATAATTATCTACATTAGGTGACTTTACTAAGGCTGACGTGTACACTAGTAATTAGATAATTAACTACATTAGGTGACTTTACTAAGGCTGACGTGTACACTAGTAATTAGATAATTAACATTAGGTGACTTTACTAAGGCTGACGTGTACACTAGTAATTAGATAATTAACATTAGGTGACTTTACTAAGGCTGACGTGTACACTAGTAATTAGATAATTAACATTAGGTGACTTTACTAAGGCTGACGTGTACACTAGTAATTAGATAATTAACATTAGGTGACTTTACTAAGGCTGACGTGTACACTAGTAATTAGATAATTAACTACATTAGGTGACTTTACTAAGGCTGACGTGTACACTAGTAATTAGATAATTAACATTAGGTGACTTTACTAAGGCTGACGTGTACACTAGTAATTAGATAATTAACATTAGGTGACTTTACTAAGGCTGACGTGTACACTAGTAATTAGATAATTAACATTAGGTGACTTTACTAAGGCTGACGTGTACACTAGTAATTAGATAATTAACATTAGGTGACTTTACTAAGGCTGACGTGTACACTAGTAATTAGATAATTAACTACATTAGGTGACTTTACTAAGGCTGACGTGTACACTAGTAATTAGATAATTAACATTAGGTGACTAAGGCTGACGTGTACACTAGTACTAAGGCTGACGTGTACACTAGTAATTAGATAATTAACTACATTAGGTGACTTTACTAAGGCTGACGTGTACACTAGTAATTAGATAATTAACTACATTGGGTGACTTTACTAAGGCTGACGTGTACACTAGTAATTAGATAATTAACTACATTGGGTGACTTTACTAAGGCTGACGTGTACAGTAATAATTAGATAAATAACATTAGGTGACTTTACTAAGGCTGACGTGTACACTAGTAATTAGATAATTAACATTAGGTGACTTTACTAAGGCTGACGTGTACACTAGTAATTAGATAATTAACTACAGTAGGTGACTTTACTAAGGCTGACGTGTACACTAGTAATTAGATAATTAACATTAGGTGACTTTACTAAGGCTGACGTGTACACTAGTAATTAGATAATTAACTACATTAGGTGACTTTACTAAGGCTGACGTGTACACTAGTAATTAGATAATTAACTACATTAGGTGACTTTACTAAGGCTGACGTGTACACTAGTAATTAGATAATTAACTACATTAGGTGACTTTACTAAGGCTGACGTGTACACTAGTAATTAGATAATTAACTACATTAGGTGACTTTACTAAGGCTGACGTGTACACTAGTAATTAGATAAATAACTACATTAGGTGACTTTACTAAGGCTGACGTGTACACTAGTAATTAGATAATTAACTACATTAGGTGGGTTTACTAAGGCTGACGTGTACACTAGTAATTAGTGAATTAACATTAAGTGTAGATCAGTAAAGATTGCTGATCATGTTTAAGTTGATATATGATCGCTGACATTACCTAGGAAGAGTATACATGTACATTTCAAACTTCAAATTACATTATTTTATATGAAAAAGACAATTAGCTAAAATTACATTCATTTTGTCCACTTGTAAGGCATCAGACTAGGACAACTGATTGATATACTCGGGGTTCATTTCCTTTGTAAGGCATCAGACGAGGACAACTGATTGATATACTCGGGGTTCATTTCCTTTGTAAGGCATCAGACTAGGACAACTGATTGATATACTCGGGGTTCATTTCCTTTGTAAGGCATCAGACTAGGACAACTGATTGATATACTCGGGGTTCATTTCCTTTGTAAGGCATCAGACTAGGACAACTGATTGATATACTCGGGGTTCATTTCGTCAACAGGAATAGTACACTTGTTGATTTCAATCTATACATTCATACTTCAAAATACTTTATAAAACATTAATTTTCTAAATTAACATATAATGGTTCAGATGTACGTATTTCCAAGTTATATATGAATGAAGAAAGCACGGTCCATGATGACGAGTAACACGTTTGAAAATTAGTTGCATGTTATGATATCATTCATGTATCTTTTCGTTTCGCTGGTATGGAAAGGCTGATCCAGGTAATTATCTGTTTCATTTTCAAAAGCCATACCATTACCCTGCTTGTGTATATCCTATAGTATAGAGATACTACCTGGTGGGTATGAAGCGTGGAGAATTGTTTTTTCTTCATTTTGGGACAACTGACCTTAGGGAATAGTCACAGACATTCATAATTTATCATTGTCTAATTAATAAAGCAAACGTTGGTAATATTCTGTTTGAATTTTGTCGTCTACTCTACGATACATGTATTTCATTTGATGTGTTGATAAATAAACGCATTTAGATTAAATTAATATAAATGTATAAAATATGTTAAAGCGTCATAACTTAGAAAGGGAAGGTAAAATGCTAGCAAATCGTAACACCGTACCACAAAAAGTCAAAAACAACAAGGTAATGTCACTGTGTACAGATTATTTTTGCCATTTTTTCCCTGGCAAATATTGACGAAAACAACGAAAATGTCTACATGCTTACAAAATATAATTCAAACAGATTCATCCAATAGAATACTAATTGTTGTAATTCAACCGGTGAAATGAGAGCATGATATGACAAAATGTAAGACTGATATGGGAACTGTGGAGGAAACACAAATGTCAAAATGTTCCGAAATGATAAGCGTCTTCTGCTTTATCAGTGACACCCACGTATTATCAATCGATCAATGTAACTAATGAAACTTAAACACCATTAACAGTAAGAATTAGATTCAACATTAATGACGTTATAAACATTATTGAAAGTGAGGATTAGATTCAACATTAATGAAGTCACTAACATCATTGAGAGTACGATTTAATTTAAACATTAATGATGTCACCAACATTATTGACAGCAAGTACTAGATTTAACATAAATGACGTCACTGACATCATTTACAGTAAGTATTAGATTTAACATAAATGATGTCACTGACATCGTTTACAGTAAGTATTGGATTTTAACATTAATGACGTCATCAACATCATTTACAGTAAGTTTAAGATTCTACTTTAATGACGTCACTAAAGTCATTGACAGTAAATGTTAGATTAAAAACTATTGATGTCACTAACAGACCGTTCGACAAACTAGGAATGTGTCGCTTTAATTGTGTTATTTCTATAGCCACAGAGGAATTGGATTTATGACGCATGTCTAATGACATCAAATGCTATATGAATGGTAGCGTCCTGACTCTTCTATTCAGATGAAGTGTGATGGTCGGGATCACAGAAAATATTCCAGATAACAACATAGGATATTATTTGGGGACGTTGAATACAACACACTGGAACTCAATATAGACTTGTTAAAATCCACTAAATTAACAAAGATCAGATCTGGTCGATTGTGATGAAAAGAATAAGTGATTTTGAGGATATATATGATTAATTGCACGAAATATGTAATAAGTATTGACTTTAAAAGGGCTTAAAATTTCAAAGAGAAATATTCATCATGTTTCAGCCATTGAAATTGTACATGGAATATACGACAGTGCACGGACTCGGACGTGTCGCCACGGTACAACATATCATCCACAAATTGATTTGGATCGTCCTTTTCCTGACATCCCTTGGGATGTGTATATATCAGGTCACTCGTCTCGGACAACAGTTTATGTCGTAAGTGTGTGGGATGTGGAGGAAGGGGGGAGGGGGTAAGAGGAGGAGGGGGTGTGTAGGAGGGTGTGTGTGGAGGGGGAAGGATAATTTGTTATCCCCCCCCCCCCATTTTTTAGGGGTTTTTTTGTGCTTCATCCATGTTTGAGATACACAATAAGAAAAACTGACTTCGACTACACTAAAGAACATTCACGTTTTTAAAGTTTGCTGTTACAAATAGCCTATGGTTCATAAACAGTTGGCTTCGATATCGTTTAATCAATTTGTTTAGAGTCTACACTAGGACAACTAGAATTTATCGATTTATCGGATGGATATTTGATTACCTGTATAGATATTTCAATTACGGCTATGTTAATTAATTACCATAACATCATTACATCAATATCTGAAAACGGTACAGTTGTTCAATAATCAGAAGATGTAAATATATCTCTTCAAATGTCACAAACAAATTGGTTTACTATGTCTACGTCCTGACTGGTTTATGATGTAAAGACGTGGTGTGTGACAGTTTTTGTTAATCGATGATCATTTCTTGATAGACAGTTTAAAATGTTGACAATTCCGTTGTTCAAATTGTACGACTATAAATGACCATTACCCTTTTTTTTATCTGTAATTGATGTTGGGTGTCAATTATAAGACGGAAACCAAATCACTACTTTAAAAAAAGGCTTAACATAAACCACATGTTAAGATGTATTTTTACAATAAAAGTATGTCATATTTAATTCAGAAAAGATTGAGAGGTTTCCGATTAAATATCACATATATTTCACTAGCATGACTATGGCATTCTCAGCTAGCCACTCTAAGTGGTATTCAAACAATTTGTGGTGTTCAGTATTAAGAAACACTTACATAATTAATTTTCTAGAAATAATATCCGAAAACAAACAAACAAACGAAAAGTGCACAGGAAACATTTTCCGGAAAACCAATTGGTTCAACCTTCGCTTCATTTGGCAATTGCAATGCAGTGAACGGAAAGCAGCGATCTGATTGGTGAAAAGTACAAAAGTATCATCACAGATATTTATTTTTACCGGATTTATAAATTTGTATGAACAGTTCTCTGGCAAAACGGCCATAAGTAACAAGATTGGTTATTCCACTCCTGAAATGTACAGTTATTGTCATAATGTTCTATTTCAGATAAATACAACAACATACAAATACTGTTTACTATTATAGTCAAAACACGTTATCACACATCATAACCGTATAATTGTAATGTAATATGATAAACTTATAATATCCTACACTATAATTAATTATAAAATGGCTTGCAAAATGATATTTTAGCGTTTTAATTGAATGATATAATTATCAACATCGTACAATGTATTAGAGCTGTACAGTGTATTGTATTGATGTACAGTTGATGTACACAGTGTATTGTATTGATGTACAGCGTAATCTAGCAAAACAATAACAATATCACTTATATATTGTATTGATGTACAGCGTAATCTAGCAAAACAATATCACTTATATACTGGTCCCCGTACAATGTATTAGAGCTGTACAGTGTATTGTATTGATGTACAGCGTAATCTAGCAAAACAATATCACTTACATACTGGTCCCCGTACAATACAGTGTATTGTATTGATGTACAATCTAGCAAATCAATATATACTGGTCCCCGTACAATGTATTAGAGCTGTACAGTGTATTGTATTGATGTACAGTGTAATCTAGCAAAACAATATTACTTATATACTGGTACCTCTAGGCATCAAGGTAATAACGGAAACAATGATGTATTGAGAAACATAAAATATAAACATAAAAACATTGGTACAAAACTATAGGATACATAGCTATATGGATTCACTGTGTTGTATTGTTGCTAGGTAGAGAACTTCCCTAGTTTGTTCTATTCAGTTACATTTTGGACACGTTATAACGGGGTCAATTTGAATACACTTGGTCTTCTATAATAATATGACCTAATATATGTACGTCGAAGATAGTATAAAAATGAAATTTTTGACATAATGGAAAGGTTCTCAGCTCTATCTGTAATGTCCTTGTGTTGTGTTAAGATTGAGTGAGATCAACCGAAATCTGGCTATGTACTTTTTTTTTAACTCTTCCTCAGTTAACGTACTTAGTAGTATTGTAAATAACAAAAATATATTAATAATATGTTGATATAGTTTTCCTCTAGAATTATTACTCATATCAGATAATATCTGTTGATGATAAACATCGTAAAACCTTTGTTTAATCCAGCTGAACACTATTTTTCCGTTACAATCTGTATCACAAATTATCTTATCCTAATTTAAGCTCAATATCCAGCCATAATGCACTCTCCTTGCACTAACATAATGCAGCAATTATTTGTTTCAGTAACCCAATCAGTACCACAATTTCACTCAAGTATGAACCACAGGGATTTCCTCTAGTCTCCATTTGTAATCTCAACCCAGCAAGCTTTTCTAAGATTGTCGGGATCAGGGAATTTCACCATATTCTGGCTGAAGCATCAGAACATAGCGCTATTCCAATGGAGAAATTTAAAAATGCAAGTGGAATGACGCAACCGGTATGTTGAGTATGGGTATTTATGTAAATCAGTCCGATAATTCTTTTTATATTTATTTCTAACATTACAACAGTGATGATTATATAATTTTGAAAGTTTCTAATTTTATCATCATTGATTCGGGCTTGATAGTTAGTATTATTACATATCAAATTTCTTCTCGTTTCAGCTTCCTGATTTCACACATACATCAACATTCCGACTGAGTAAGCATGCGTTTATGCTCTCTTGTCAAGTCTGATGACATCATTTTTTGCTTTAAAACATGATAGATGGTGATCAAAGTTTTACATGACTCAGATACAACAGCTTTGCAAACGTTATACGGAAAGATGTCGCAAAAAATATGTTTCGTTTCGATGCATAAACATTCATCGATACCTAACAACTTAAATATCTAATTATAAGTAGATATATGCATATAATTACATAAAAGTTACCCATTTCAGATGATTATGACCATCCAATTGGCATGGCAAAGAAGTTGTTCCATGCTCGTCTAGCTAATCTGTCTCTTGAAAACCTGACTGCCCTTAACGAAGACTTCGAGCATTTCATTGTCGACTGCAAATACCAAGGAGCGAAATGTAGACGGGAGTATTTATCATTTCTTATTTATCAACCACCTATCATTTCTTCATTGATAAACAACAATCTTATAATATCCACTGAAGTCATGTGGATATGAATTTTCCGTTTGAAGCAAAATGTAATATGACACTGCATGCTGCAGTATGTGTACTGTGTATATATAATATTTAATACAGAAATAATGTAAACTGATATTTGCTGATAATGACAGGTTAGACAATAAGTAAAGTCAAATGTGTAAAGTTGATATGCGAGGAATGCAACGATCAGATTATATGGAGGGTGATATGGAAACTTAACTGTGTATCAAAGTGTGTAACGTTTAAAAAACTTTCATCTGCAGTGATTTCATCATTACGCGTGATAGAGGATACAGCATGTGTTACCAGAAGAAGATCGATAGGTTCCTCACCGAGAATGCTGGTCCAGATGCTGGTATATACTGTTATCATTTATTACATATCAATTACGCCAGTTCATATATCTACAGGTATCGTTCGAGGTTAATCATACGATCAGTTGATAAACCAATTACATCAAAATATAAAGAAATATTTTATAAACTAGATCAAAAATTACTAAATGACACTTTTTCGCAAATTTTGATGATTTATGTAAAGCAACACTTGGATTATTAATGGTATTTATAATTTTCTGAAATATGTTTATTATATTACAATTTCCACGTGGAGCTAATCAACATTTACCCAGTGTAGTCATCATGTGTACATTGTATATAATCTTTTCGCTTACATATATAAGGTCTTTTGTTCTGTTCATTCATTATTTTAAGAACATATTTTATATTTGGTATTACACCATGTTTAACCGTCGTCATTAATCATCATCAGCAAATGATAATAAACAAGTAATAGATCTAAGATCATTATACATTAGATGTGTAATCATTTTGTGAGGGATCGAAACAAAATTGCCCGCTTTGACCTGTTAACAATTTCATATTGAATAGAAAATCATAAAAAAGATTGTGATGATTTTTTATAAGGTCTGGAAGTAATGGTGTCTGTAAAACATTCGGAATACATACCCTTCGTCAGTGAATCGACTGGTGTCCGGGTCATTATACAGGATGACGCCACAGATGTACTTTCTGAGAATGGATTTAATCTTCCCACTGGTTTTGAAATAGACATCGCAGTGTCTGTGGTAAGGTGTTTTTTTTTTTTTTTTTTTTTATAAAATAGTGTTGAAATATGATACATTTTTTCTTACATTTTTTTAAAAAGTTATAAAAATGATATGATACCTACAGTGAAAATTACACGACACAGTGTTGGATGCATGTGATAAGGTAAGAAATTAACATAATTTGTATGTCAATACATCATTATATATTGATGTAAAATGTATAATCCATACACAAAAAATTAAAAGAAAAGAAAATAAAAAATAAAATTTCAACACAATCATAATCCATACACAAATTCGATGAATTAGGATGCAAAATGAACAAAAGAAAAAAAGATTTCAATCCAAGAATAAGACAAAGCAATGTCACGTTTCCAACAGGTATACTTACGAGCACCAAACACGCCCAAGTTTATAGTGTACAAGGAAATATAATATTCTAAATGAGATCATTACAAGGAATGAAAAAATCACCATCAGTTTCATCGACCTGCTTCTCACGAAATCCTATGTTGTGAGTTTGTCATTTGCGGACATCTAACGTCGTCAGAATATCTGAAATATCGAATCAACTGCGACTTGTAAACCTCCGGCTGGGGATGCAGGGGTATTACTCTCTAGAAATGGAAAACATTTACAATACCGGAATTGAAATATTAACGCATATACATCCTGAAGTAAGTTTACATTAAAGGAACACTCACTTTGGATTTTCTTAAGCGTCACTGATGAAACCGCCGAATGGTACAGATTAATGGCTTTACAGTTACAGTTATTGTATTAGATGAGGAAAGCCATAATCTTTATCCAATTACATATGAATGAGAGCAAACTAGTAAGTGTTTGCAACATAGTATTTTATATGATATGGAAATTGTTGAGGTCAGGTTCAGTATTCACGCGCATATGAGGGAAAAGATGTCGACAGATAAGGTTTTTACCACCTATGATATCCTTAGATAGACTTATATTTAAATATACAGTCAGAAACAAAGAGAGTGCCGGGACCTGACCTGCGCTGTGAGGAGAAGAGTTTCTGGCAGCGGAAGCTGGTACGTCAATATTTTTTCTTGTTAATCTTTATTATTGTAAATAGGTTTTAATCAAAAAGGAATATTATGCTTTGTTATAAATATTGTGATCAATCGTTTCTGACCGATATGGATGGGTTTAGCAACCTTTTTGCAATCAACGAAACAAACGTATATGATAAAAGTCCATCCAAAGTCATCCTAGTTGTTTTAACTGTTTAAACCTAAGAAAATACATACTGGGTATGGTAGACGTCTATGTTATCATCAGAAAAAAACCTCGTGTTCTTATAAATATTAAAGGCGAAGCAGAAAGGAAAAGTTTAGCTCTGAAATGAAATAGGAATTCTTTCACTCTTACGAATGACTTCTGTTTTGATAAAAGATTAAAGGGTTGATGCCAATACTTGCTATTCTTTATTAGATGAAAAGTAACAAAGTTAACAGGAACGCACAAATCAGCCGTTGTTGTCTTCATATAAAAGCAGACATGTACATTATTTATATACATTAAGATGTTCCTATCGTAACAGGCTTGTATGAAGAACTGCTCCATAACTCACGCAACGCGACGATGCGAGTGTGCACCATACTTTGGCTATAGCGATGAAATAGAAAGAACTTGCATGACGGCGACAGGTAGATCAACAAGACGTGAATGACAGAGTGGTTCACCATTCAACATTGAAAACAATGCATTTCAAAACTATTAAGGACATTGCTTTTTATTTTTCAGAACAGTAATATGTACATTCTACAATTGCATTTTTTAAACGTTGTAGGTTTAAGTTTTTAAATACACCATGGCCTGTTCTGATAAGTTAAAGATCATTTTTACAAGAATATCTGCAACAAAGTCGCATGCGTTATCATCTGTTTAAAACACCTTTGTATATGTTGTACTAGTATAACTTCTTTTTCTGCAAGCAATGTGTTGGTGGCAAAAATCTATAGGACTTATGAGTCCTAAGTGTAACGTTAATATTACAGGCTAAATATTCAATATGTATAAATGTTTTTTTTTTCTAGAAATGAGTTGTTTAAAGACGGAAATAGAAGAATGGATGAGAAGCGATACATGTGCAGCCTGCAAGGTTCCTTGTTTGTAAGTTGTTGATGTACATTATATTCATATTCATTGACCGACTAAGGATGTGCTGTGTAACAGACTTTTTTTTATCTTATACACCTGTTTTTCTTAATCCATTATTGAATACATGATTTATATAAAAATGCGATATATTGTTTGCGGCAAAACAAAAGCAAAACAAAAAAACAAAAACAAAAGCAAAAAAAAACAAAAAACCAAAAAACAAAATAATAATAACAATGAAAATCATTAGCGTGAATGTGAATTTTAGAATTTTTAAAAAGAGAAGTCTGCACAACATGTTGCAGATCAAAAGTATTTGCTCTAAAAGTTATTCTGCATAATCCATGCAGATTCCTTAACTAGTTGGAAGTGTTTTCCATTATCTAGCGTTTTTATTTATTCAAAACACTTCTAATAATGACACACTTCATGTGAAGCTGAGTGAACATAATCGACAGGTAAAATGAAGTTATTGGACAGGTTCAGGTACGTTGTTGGACAAGCAAACATAATTTCTCTATTTTGCGATAGATATAGTAAACATATAACAAAGGATACTATCAGTAAATTTAATTTCCTTTCTGAATGATTACATTTCATACTTTTAAATTGACACTTAAGTAATCAAAGACAAATTTCAACCACGAATAGTCTTTCCATCCACACGCTTGAATCTTTGACGACATTTCATTGATACACAAAAAGGATGCGTAACCTTGACAAGTTAAACAGAGGAAATCAACCCCCTATAGTTGTGCAAGATATAATTCATTACATAAGGACGTGTCATACTCGCTAAAACGGTGATGACTGTTCAAAATAATGGTTTATATTTATTCTTGCAAAGTTTTAACACTATACAACATTACCAGATTAAAATTTTGACCATACTAGCATGGAAACATTGACAATTTAACTTTCGCGTGGAAATGTTACAGGAACTAATTCTGCAAACCACATGGGTAATAAAATTTCTTTTACATTTAACAAAAATTGCAATAAATTAAATTCATGGAATAAATATGATCTCTGAAAATGTTTCTGTTTTTATGTCACAATCATACTTTAAAAGGGTACGTTTTATCGATTCAGCGGAAAAGTTGCAGTTTGTTTTGAAGAGTCAAATGTGGCAGTTCTACTAAATAAATCCTTCCACCAATGACCTACCGTTCCAGAGTTATTCTGTCAAGTACTAACAATGATGTCTCTACAGTAAATTTTGATGAAAAGCCACTAACGTGTAAATATAGCGATTGGATATTATTCTTTCGTTAACCATGCTTTTAGGGAGCAATTCCGCTAAAATATATTCTAAATGGGGCGCTATGAGTAGTTTGAAGGTTTATGGATTGAAAGTTTATTTAAATTTAAGATATTTCAGTTAATAACGTAACTACTGAAATTATTCGTTATTTTAACTCCATGAAATAATACAACTAATTTATATTTAAGTGAGAAATCTTACACATCATCGGTTTCAATGGCAAGATGGCCATCTGATGCTTATGCTGAAGTTCTGGCAGTGGACAACAACTGGGCCCATGGGAGCGACATTGGAAAGATCAGGTAACACAGCATGGTCAGGCAATGTCGATTGATACATAATGTATATAACTGACTACAACTAGGCCCATCGATTAACACAGCATGATACATAATGTATATAACTGACTACAACTAGGCCCATGGGAGCGACATCGGAAAGATCAGGTAACACAGCATGGTCAAGCAATGCCGATTGATACATAATGTATATAACTGACAACAATCGGGCCCTTGGGAGCGACATCGGAAAGATCAGATAACACAGCATGGTCAAGCAATGCCGATTGATACATAATGTATATAACTGACAACAATCGGGCCCTTGGGAGCGACATCGGAAAGATCAGATAACACAGCATGGTCAAGCAATGTCGATTGATACATAATGTATATAACTGACAACAACTGGGCTCATGGATGCGACATCGGAAAGATCAGGTAACACACAGCATGGTCAGGCAATCGGAAAGATCAGGTAACACAGCATGGTCAAGCAATGTCGATTGATACATAATGTATATAGCTAACAACAACTGGGCCCATGGGAGCGACATCGGAAAGATCAGGTAAAACAGCATGGTCAGGCAATGTCGATTGATACATAATGTATATAACTGACAACAATCGGGCCCTTGAAAACAACAACTCGCAAAGATAATACAGCATTTTCTGTCGTTGATGTTTTTTTTAGTAAAGCCAATTTGTGTAATTAATTAAAACATTTAATGGTTAACCAATATGTTAATAGGAATATTATCAAACGTCTAAAGCATTTGAAGAATTTATAAATTTGATCTTTTTTTAGTCATGTTGCTTCTTTTATATTCAGAGCTGATCACATGCTTCTCCGTGTGTATTTTTCGTCCCTGCAAAAAGAAGTCATTGATGAAGAATTGTCTTATACGGTAAATATAATCAAAAGACGTTTGCGGTTTTAATAAGAACCGGAGACAGCACAGTCAGTGTTATCTAACCTTTATGAAACTATTTTATATTGACTTACAAACTATGTACTTGTGATAACAGTTCCTATAATCCAGTAAATCACATCATTTTCCATTCTTGTGGTTTTGTACAATTTACTTCGTCTGTTAATGTTTTTTACCACCGGAAAAGTAATTTGGCAACGCCGATAATATATTACAGTCTTCAATTGATTTCAATCGTGTATACACGCGTATATAATTTTCAGTCTGAGAACTTCGTCAGCGACATTGGAGGACAGCTTGGTTTATGGGCAGGACTATCGGTGCTAAGTCTTGCTGAAGTGGTGGAACTAGTCGTCCTCTGGATAACGCATTGCTGCAAGAAGAAGAACCGGACTGATCACTCTGATTTACCACACAAGACCTCAGACTGAGGGATGAGACGGTATCGGACGGAGAAAAAGACATTTTGCCGTTGACGGTCTTCCTTTAGACACTTACTGGAAAAAAATGTTGAAATTAATATTGTTTGGTACACATATCATAGAAACGTGTTATATATGTATATTTTTGATGAGAAATGTCGCTTGGTAGTTAAAGTTTTAGTGTGTCGACCATCCCAACGTAGCAGAAAAAAATATGTAATATATTAGTTAGAACGCTGAATCCATATGCTATGCGGCTTACATATACATAAACTTGTTCATTGATATATATTTTGTTTGTTCCCGATGTTGTTTATCTTCGTGTCAGTGTATTCAACGCAACGTTTTTGGCACATAATTTGATACCTTTATATTAACTTCTCTAGACACCAGGTGGTTTTGAGAGTTGGGCCTTACCGATTCTGTTTATTGTGTGGGTGTCATTGAGTTTGCTGTTATATTGGTGGATCTCTCAAACTCCTGTCATATTAGTGTTTCAATTCTGTATATACTCTTACCGTTAAAAAGCATTGCAAGCATCTTTAACAAATCTAACATGTAAGATAAACCAGTCTATCATATGTATGGTTATTTCAGGAAACTGCCATTTCAGGAGGTGAATATGAAGTCCGGTATAGGGATGCAACAGTCAGATATATTCAGAACGTATTACTTGTCATTATACATTGGAATCCGATCGGAAATAAATTATATCTGTAATAAAGTAAATGTTTTTCTTTCATGTTTAATTATGCGTTTTATTTGGATAAACATGTTCAAATACGTCAATTTCATTTTGATCATTTTAAGTACACTTTCAGCCCTTCCAGACATTACTACGAAACCTACCTTTATGGTGTTGAAACTCTACTGGACACAGCTCTTTTTACTAATTAGGAACTTCCCATCATTAACTGACCAGCAAAACATATTTCAATAAAATTGAATATGACATAGGTTAGATAACTTACTCTGTATGGACTGTCTCTGTAATATTAGTTTAGAGTTAAATATGACATTGGTTAAATAACTTACTTTGTATGGACTGTCCTTGTAATATCAGTTAAGAGTTAAATATGACATTGGTTAAATAACTTACTCTGTGTGGACTGTCTCTGTAATATTAATTAAGAGTTAAATATGACATTGGTTAAATAACTTAATCTATGTGGACTGTCTCTGTAATATTAATTAAGAGTTGAATATGACATTGCTTAAATAACTTACTCTATATGGATTGTCCCTGGGATATTTTGTTATCCTCAGTTGTTGCAGATAGGGAATAAAATGAATCAACTTATGCAATGTCCATTAAAACTTCAGAAATTCTATCTAAGGAAGGCATCAAACCACTTCTATGAATGTTGGTTCGTTCTGTGTTAAAGGGATGGGTGGGGGGGGGAGGGGGGTTGGTCATGTGAGGGTTTCAAAAGGGTGGGTGGGTGGGGGGAGGGGGGCTGGTCATGTGAGGATTTCAAAGATACGTGCACATTTGGTTGTTATGTGCATGATACTTATGCTATTCATACATAATGCTATCAATCTTAGATTCTCTTCAAGACTCATTTTGTGTGGTAACTTAATAATTCTTTTCTACACAATGCATTTATTTAAGATATGATAAAATAATACTACAGATGATTGATACTAACTATGAACTTTAATACCATTACAAATTCGTGTCATTTTAACCAATGTTTGCTTTCATATAATTTATGTATTATCTTATCATTGTATGTTTTACTCTGTGAATAATTATGTAAGTACGGAACACAGAATAAAACAGAAATATTTCCGAAATATTTTGTTACAACGTGTTTTTAGGAAAGAAGAGAGTAAATTTGATGTGTTTGTAATTCTGATTTATAAAATCAGTAATAGCAATAGTTATTTTGAGTTGGATTGTTAAAACGTCCTACGTAGGCCCGTCACATATTACACAGAAAACCTAAAGTGAAGCTTTTTCCGAAGGACACAACCTCTGAGGTTTTGCATATTAGAAAATAAACGGGCAATATCAGACGAACCTGTTCTAGTGTTTGCGTCATACATTTGTCTAATAAATCCTTATTAAGATTACTCACACCTCATTGTCAATAACGACTTTTTATTTTCGCCTCTATGCATATGTTGCTAGAAAAAAATTACATATCGACATCAACAAAGAAATCCCATGAAAGGGATATGTTACTTTGTTTTAGGATAATAACGAGCTCAAAGTGAACAAATACTTATTCGAGAGGTTATACAGACTGACCAAACTCTCACTAAGGCTAACATTTGGAGATTTTATGCAATATCCATAGTTTTGTACTGAATTTAAACCTCTTTCCCAGCTGCTCATGACTTAAACAAATGAGACAGTTTGCAACAAAGGGTAGATATTTATATATAAATTCATCACACCTTTTACGGGTTTGTGACTGGATAGCGCTGCATTTCAAACAATAACAATGTGTGGACATGTCTGAAATTGTTATGTTTCTATATATGTTACCCTTAGGTAAGCTCTCTCTATAAAAGCAAATAGCGTATCGACTTGTTCATGCAGATAACATAATTAAGATACGGTTTCGATTTTTTATCAAACATGTTTATTGAAGCTATCCTAATTAACTTCCATGATTAATTTTTACTCGTAAACAATATAATTCCCAAGACATGTTCCATATTGAACTATCTTTGAATGCAATCAATTAGTTGGTTAATATTTAATTATAATCATTATGATGGTCGATGTAACAAGATAAAAATCTATTAAGTAGCCTGAGAAGGTCACACTCAGATAAACAATTTCGCTCGAGGACAACAGGGAATATACACAACAATGTACACAATTTCATGTTTGGTTATTTCAATAATAACACTGATAAATAATTTACATATTTAATAAACTTCTCTGGATGTATATGACTACTAATGAGCAATCCCGTTTGAAGTTTGATAAGATATGTCAGTTTTTAATTCGGGGACCAATCATTTTCTCTTTTTTTTTCAAAACATGATTTGTATAATGTATTGATTTTAACTTTTTAAAATCGAATTTCAACAATACAAAGCATTGTACAAAATAGAAAAGGAAACAAAATTAAGTGGCATGACACGTGTTTTTGTAACCTGGAACATTTTGTACAGTTAGAGCATTAGCAACTGGAATGAAGTAACTTGTGCTGCAGAACAACCAAAAACGAAAAAGAGACAGGGGCAAATGATTGGCATGCAGTGGAACCGATAGGTGAATATAATATCAATATGCTATATTGGGATGATGTTGTAGAATATGAATCTGTATCACATATTGTAAGCGTACGTAAAACTGAATTTACACAGATAAGAACAATTATAAATTGGCACGTTCACAATATTCATTGAAGAAAGCAATCTACAGAAACTATAATTAGCTCAATCGTAAATAAGCAGAAATGTTTCAACACAGTAATCACTAAAATAAGATTACCACCAAAATATAAACGTTTTCAGTATAACTATGATCGGTGATGTATGTTTAAACGATATAACATATAAAAATGTAGTTAATGTACTTGCAATTCCTATAACGTAAAATTCATTAAACACTCCCCCGCCTCACTGTGACAATTCTAGTACTTTCAAGGTAGTCGATCACTTAAACAATCCATCATAATCATGGCCAGTTGATGACATAATACAGTATAAAACTTCCACAATGATAAAATAACAGAACAAGCGTGTAATGATATTCAAACAAACTAAAACACTTATCCAATAGGGCAAACCATTAGTCCTGTTTCTTAGTATGTAATTTATAGTTTATATGCCACAAAAATAGAATATTCCTCAACACGATCACTATGACGACCAAAAAAATTCCCCTTACTATTCATCAACCTGCGCTTTTTGAGCCTCTGTGTGACGTGTTTTGTCAGTCAGTTGACGACTTCTTGCACGAACATCGCGACAATGGGATTAGGCTCTTGAATATCAATATCGAATCAACTGTGACATGTAAATACCATAGGTTGGAGATGCAGGGATATTGCTATCACATAAATTCACAATATAGATATTGAAATCATCACGTTTATCATACAGCTTGATGGAAAGCTGTCCATGTTGGTTTCGTTCTAGGAAAAAATCGAGATTGACCGCTGATGTAGAAGAGTTTGTCGTGTCTTTCTTTTCCTATTCTGGTGGATATCTACCGTGGATGTGGTTTATACATCTCGTTATTTAAAGCCAAGATGTCATCAATTTATCTCAAAGTGAAATTAAACGACATTGCAAGGTCTTTAATAAATTCATCCTGTAAACGAATACAAACCAGCCAACACAGGAGCGCAGTTATTTCTCATAAGTATGACAACAGTCAGTTGGGTGATATTATCACCGAACTCGACGAAGATGTTGTCAATCAGATACTCAGTGAGTATTATGATTTCGTCCTATGCATATTTTTATAACGAAATATGCTTCAGTACAGTTCACAACCATACATTTATACCAGCGTTCACTTTCCTTGGAGAAGAAAACTCTCATAACAAGAACGAAGGAGTTCCTTCAGTTTAGAAGGACGATTGGTGGTGAACAGACTGGAAATATCAAATGTTCCAATCCTCAAAACCTTCTTACAGAAAAAAAAATTTTTTTTTTAGAAAAGGGTTTGAAGATTGGGCAAAAGTTCTTTGGAGTTCTTCAAAATCCACATACTACTATTTCCACCTCTGTGCCATGTTTATAATATATGTAAATGAATATACATTTGTAAGAGCTTTATTGTGTGATGAGAATATTACCTTCCTTAAAGTTTTGTGCTGAATAGATAATGTTTTACTGTCTCGCAACAGTCGATATTCAATTTGAGCAAATTAAGTACAAATTGTAAATTCAGAGCACTTGGAAGTCAAGAAAATTATTTACAGAATGCATATTCTCACGTCAAACAATCTATACTTGGTGGCCTCTAGATGAACGTCATGATATCAGAAAGCTGGCACGTTTTTTAACATCATTTTGTTCAAGCCGACTCTGTTTTCGCAGTTAGATAAACATCTGTGATCATCTTCTATGTGCAGTCGGTTGATACGAATAGTAGATTCACGCGTCATCCATTCAGTCGCTATGACTTACCAAAGTCCACGTGTACGAAAGCAGTAAGCTTTGACAAAATATTGCCACAGTATATATAGTATCAACATAGGTTGAAAACAATATCTTTATGAAAATAAAGTTTGGTGCCTAAAACATTATCCAATATCAATGTAGCAATTTGATTTGACGGTAGGAATTAATGACGATTCGTTGTTAATTTCCTCAGAATGAACATTTACTATTAAGAGACACTGAAAGTCGAAATGTAAAGAAAATGCTTCGTGTTCCTGACAACAAACGTAAATGACATTTTACCGTAGGCATGCGTAATGAAAGTCATGCATTTTGATGGAAATTTACATAAAAAAAAAATCGAATAGAAAAGTACATAACCCGATATTCAATATCGGATAAGATGCTGTATATTGAACACCGCGGTTAGATATTGAAGACCATTTTATCAATAATAAAATGTTTTATCAATTACCTTGGAACTCCCCGAAGGTTTAGTAGTATATTGATGTCACTTTGATGTTTGCAACAGTGTATGATTTATTTACTCTGTGTTGAATTGTTCCTAACCACCAGCCTGGACCTGGTAAAAATATATAGGCAAATACTTGTCATATCACTCATTTGTATCGTAGCAATAATTGGTTCAAAGATTTTTCTGGTTCTGCTTGTGGGTAGCATCATTCAGTGTATGTTTTAGAACTCACAGAACAATTTAGAAGTCAAGCAGACATTTTATACAACTTTTGGAATCGATGATTTGTTTTGCTTTTTTATCTCAGGTACACTTCATCTTTCTGTAGAAGCATTCAATAGTACATGGGGCATTGTTTCCCTGACTTATTAAATTTTGACACCAGAAACATTTTCTCTCAATTTTTGAACGACTGGTAATAATGGGATGTCGACACTAGTTATGTTGGTTATATTAAGAATGTGCTTGAATGTCCTACCCATATTTTGATATATTTATTTTTAAATCTTATTTTCCTTTGTTTGGTTGCTGTTATCTGTATTTTCGTTACAAATGAAAGATTTACCGATATGTTGTCAAGGCTGTCTATCTTTTTTCCTCTGAAATGAATGTATGTTATCAGTATCTCACTCCCCCATATGATATGTTGGTATTTTCCTGTTGCTTTTAATGATGATTGTTATTTATAATCGGGTATAATGTTTCAGAAACGTCAACATGTATCGAGCTCTCAGACATGGTATTTACTTTCAGCTGAAACTTACTTATATCTATATCTGCTTTTAGAATCTGATATAATAAGGCATTTAATTTCTAATGAATACCCAACAGTGCTAAAGTAAAACATTTATTAGAAAACCGAGACCACTTCATTTCCATGTATCTAACTATAAATTTGTATTAAAAGGTGATATTCACTTGTGTGCCGTCTTTTGTACTATCATCATATACATGATAATTGAATAAAAAATCATTCATGGAAAATGAGCGGCCTGATGGATAATGATAATGTTTTACCAAGCCCTGACTATTTAAATAATTTCTAATGTAAATACAAAAGGAATGCTACAAATTGCGGAATTTAGAGGAAACTTAGATTTATGTTAGATAGATTACATTTAGTAATTGTCTTGGAATTCTGAATTTATCTGTATAAGGGAAAGAGCTGTACTTTATTTATACAAAGGGAGGTAACTTGAATATTGCTACATATATCGTATGTTGAGGATGTGAGATGAATATTCTTTGAAAGATGTACGAAAATGCATCTATTTGTATATGTAAGACTGAATAGAAAGGCGATATTCGTATGTTTTTTATACGAACTTTTAGTAATTTGGTCCAATCGTGTCCATTATCTACATTCTAAATCAGAAAAGTATGTTCTTTTTACTGATCATTTTGTTTTTGCTTAATTAATAAATTTTGAATAAGCAATCAAAAAGACTAATTAAAACGGTTCTCTTTTCCTTTTTCCCCTGTTGCATCCTTTTTATCAAGATCTTTCGTAACCAAGACTCACAAAAGGCGACAAGTTCATGGCCATTAACAATTATGGAGTATATATAGATAAGTATGAAACAGACAAAAAGAATATTTGTTTATAGTAAATACCGACAAAAACATACTTTTAAACTTATTTCCTATTTAAGATGAACAAGAAATAAATAATAATGAAAGGTATTTTATATACCGGTGTCTCAAAGCACTTTATCTCAAAACCGTTCACAAACTATGGTCTATTGGTCGGGGGTAACAGCTTTGTACACATTTCATTTCCAGCACAGCCCAATCAGTCTCGTCATCAATCAGACTAAAGTACCTTGTTCAAGAATATAAAACGTTGTGTGCACCGATCTAGAGTCGAACTTCCTATTACAAGAACACCTCACCTTCATTGTAATGCTTTCTAGTTCTTGCATTTATACCGTTTTATCACAACACAGATGTCTCAAAGCGGTTCATGAAAGATATAATAGTGTATATTAATGTAATATATCTGAGACATGTTTCAAAGCTGTACGTATAAACAGCTATTGATTGAAAATACCACTACACGCAGAAATGATAAAAGGTTATCAACATCAACAACAAACATTAGTGACACGCTGAATAATAATTAAATACACGTGTATCTGGTGTTCTACATAATCTAACTAAACATGTACATACATGAGAATACTTACATTCTTACTTTAGTATATGTATAACGTATGAAAAATGAATATATCAAAATAGAAACACGTGCTTAACATATCCACGTGTTACAATAGTGACGCCATACACCTACAATCAGTGTAACAAGACCTATTGATTTAATTGTCACATTTTCAAGACGCCAATTCATTATGATGTCAAAAATAAAAAAAATTATATCGAGTTAAAATATCCCTGCTTTGTTCACTCTCAGTCTAAAAAAGAAATATTGCTTTTTATTATTTGTCAACAGAATGTTATTTTTGTCTATTCTTCAGGAAACAGAGAACGTAGATCTATGTTAAAAGTTTTCTAATAAGTGAACGTAAACTAGTGGCTGGCTATGATATCTCAATCGCGAATGGTTCTTTAATGATTCTCCTGATAGCTAGAAAACATAGGTATAAAAGTTATAATGAAACCTCAATATGACACGTAATAAACAAGATCCCTAGGACATCAACCAGAGTATCAATCACTCATGGGGGTCTTCAACTTTCATAATATCTGGTTGGCGTTGGTTATCTTTTCCAGGGTTTGAAAGAGCTAATTCGTTTTGAGCGACTCGCAGTTTGTTCCGCTTGCATATGTTCCGGATCAAAAGACAGATGAGTTCTAAGACTTCCAATAAACTTAAAACAGATATTCCTATCCAGAGGCCAAGCTGACCACCGATGTCGCTGACTAAGTTTACGAGCTGCAAACCAGATATAAAACTACATTAGAAATGCATGATATAGGAATACAACCTCGTCAATAAAAGATAGGGGAGCACGACGCTACGTAATACACAAGAAATGTGTGGTGATGTAACTTCCTATTTGTGCTAGGAGCATTTTGCAAAGGAGTGTAAATTTCATGTTAAGTGAAATAGAACTTTTCTGTATATAGAGTATGAAAGTACAATGCTATGGCACAAATAGAGAGAAGAGACGAGAGGGAACGGTTTAACGTCTTTTGAAAGCGTAAGTAACGAAAGTTCAATGTAACAGTTGTCATGGTCGTTCGTAATCCAAGCCAACGACTTTAGTTGAGAAATATCATTTTTTGTTCTTCATTTTTCAACAAAACATTAAAAATTGTTAATTGTGAACGAATAGAGCGTTCTTAATTTCGATTCTTATCAGTAAACGTTCGGGCGTACATAGACCATTTATACAACTTCTTCCCAGTATCTAAAACCAATCACGTATGACTAATACGTCAATGCCTTACAACGATATCTCAGCACGTCTCATTTTCAACGTTAATTTTAAAATTTATCAAATCTGTGTCAAACCAAAATATTCTGGTAAAAGGGTATCAACAATTTATAGAAAAAATAAACAAAACATACCGTCCCGTCCCCATACGTCCCTCAATATCAGAGGACGCATTAGTCTTTTAACCTGAAACAAGAACTAATATAATAAATCTGATTGTAGAGACTTACTGTGTAGGAATAAACTTCTTTCTCAGTTTCTATTATCAGCGACGAATAGTATATCCTGAGAGACATCAAGTCATCTCTGAAAAAAAGAAAGAAAATTTAAGTGTCTGAAGTGTCACCCTTTCTATACAAATATTCTGATGATAATCCACAAAGGCATCAATAATATCACGTCTACATGTAGATGATAACTTCATAAAGAAAGTACTTTTCCATAAATCAGTATTGTATAATGGTTGTAAAATGACTTTAACACCATATAGCTACATGATATAGATACCATATATAGTATATTGTATCAATGGACATGCAATCCAATAGCAATTTATAAGGTATATATATACCACAATTGAACATGCTCTTGAAGAAGTGTGTTCTTTCTTATCTTGCTTTTCTTATCAATAATAAGGTGTTGCTTGCACACGCTAACTCAATCAAGCAATAGTGATAAATTCCATAAAGCTAGGGAATACTATGAACAAAAGAAAGATTCTACACGGACACTACTGAAAAAGTACAAGGAGAATAGGATCAGGTGTTTCGGAAGAGTAAGCGTCTTGTGCTTCATCGACAACATCCGCCATTTACATAGTGGTCAATCTAAGTAAGTAATGCCACGTTTTCAAATGAGAAGAAATGACATGACGATAATACAGCAAAATGTAATTGTTTATAGTCATCTAATAACAAGTTTATATAACTGCAACCTCCATGGGGCAATATATATACACAAACAATATGAAGCAAATAAGATTAGTTGATAAGGTTACATAATAATATCATTTACATTTCACATCGCATTTAACGAACTTGGATTAGAGCACTAGTGAAAAGCCAAAGGAACATTCATAAAAGCAGTTGTTGTTTTTACAAACAAAAGTTCATACTGAAGATTTGGACTCGAAGAAACATTGAGATTAATGTTCCCTCTGGGAAAAAATGTCGAAAAAGTTAAAAGATCTATAAAGCAGAAACTAACTACACAGACTTGGATTAAACATGCAAATAAACAACATCAATATGCGTAATTTGATAGTGCATGGATAAACATTTTTGACAATTGGCTAGAAAGGGTAAAATCTATGTTCACAAATCGAATTCATAGCTTTATAGATAGATCCGATATCTGTAAATAAACATTTAGAATTATACATCAATTAGATACTAAAAGTTAAAAAGTAGTTTCACAGTAACAAAAAAAATTCAATGTATGCATAAACACGGTAAGCAATATGAATACAACATAACATTTACTATGTTTATCTTAACACTTACGCTGAGTCAACTATTGAAATATTTTTACTTAGAATAATTGCATCAAGGATTGGTTTGTTAATCTTTGCAGGCCATTTTGACATCGACACAGTTCGGTGGTAGGTACGTTCACTGAAAAAGGAAAGAATGACTTCTGATTACATCTCATTCTCTGAATAATTCGTTCATTTTATGAAAACAGATATCTATCTTAATATTTATATTAATTTCCTAACTAAACTGAGTTTGCTATCAATACATTAAAATGAGTGCAATATCAAATATTCGGAAAGAGCAATGAAGTTCATGTTTATACTTGTACCTAACGACAGTTCGAAATACTTTACCACTGATATGTCGCTGATGTCAAAAAAAAACTTTTTACCAACCCAAAGGCATTGGACACTCGAAAGGAATCAACAGCGTTTTTGTATCTGGATTTTATTGGAGCTATTTCAAGTCTTTATGGTGGCAAAAGACGATGACCATGTTGACATATTATATGTTAAACGGTAAACCTATAAAAACATCAAAGAAAGTACCCACATGCCAACAGGTTACCTCTTTAATCTAAACAGCATAGGCTACATAGCGAAATGTTTTAAATTGTTACCTGAGCCGGTATGAAATGAAACATTTTGAAGGTTTCCCGTATTCAAATTGCTGAAAAATCGTAACATGCCGGTCAATAATCACACCTACTGAGCGACGTAGAACATGTTCTAGCATTAACATGATAATGATAAGGTGTCAATCTGATCGTTACAGCCCTAAAATATCTTAAAGACTTTCAGATATATGGATTTATTTCTCAGTATGAATGGCCTATGTTGACTGTTTCTGATAATTCAAGAAACAAAACAGTTGTCTTTGTTTCGTCCCTTTAATGTTAGTCAACAGTCGGACCGAAGTTGTTAAGGTGATGAAACCAATGAGATGCACTTTTTTTCTGAGGTTGCTGTTGAGACACTTCACTAGAGTTGTACACTGTTAGCTCGCCTTACAAGATATAAACAATGTCAACACGTTTCAATAGTTACCAACACTGTTAGTACGCCTCACTGATATAAGCACTTTTGATTGTCACGCCTCACTAGATATATATACTACCGAAATGCCACATGAGCTATAAATACTTTCGACATGCCTCACTAAATTTGCACTATGTCGACACGCCTCACTAGATATGAACACTATTGATATACCTCAATATATGTAAACACTTTTAACACGCATCACTACACAAGTCACTACAACAAGTAATGTTGGCACGTTTTTTAGATATCAAAACTGTTGGCACTTTTGATTGACACGCCTCTATAGATATAAACACTTTTGATTGACACGCCTCTATAGATATAAACACTTTTAATTGACACGCCTCTATAGATAAAAACACTTTTAATTGACATGTCTCTAGAGATATAAACACTTTTTATTGACACGCCTCTATAGATATGTAGTGAAATTAAAAGTTCAGATCTAATGTCTACAGTCTATTCAACAACGTAAAAGAGCAAAATCTTATCAATATACGTTAATTCGTAATGAAAACATTTAAGTGATGAGTTAAGAATACAATTAATATGTATATTCCAGTACGTAGGTCAAGGACAACTGGGCTAACGGCTAAACTATACCAAGAATACTGTAAAATACAGGAACAAGGTAAGGAAGTCCGTCACAACAGCAACTGACACACATGAAAAACAAATCGCACATGAAGCGAAGCCTATTAAATTAATTAAGCTCAATCATGAACTACCAGTTGTCAATTTTAGTCAATATTTATCACATAACAGGATCAGATTGTAGACAAGAAAATGTCAAAAAAAAAAAAAAAAAAGAAACAGCAAATCACCAAGCAACTGAGCACCTGTCAGCTTTACATGCATTTTCTGCAAGAAAATGGAAACAATTGTGCGTCAGACAATTACTAATCACATTCAGAATAGCAAACTCCCGAATAAAAAGTAATCTTATTGAATTAAAAGCATATCCGCCGTGTTACAATTCAAGTGATTGATGGATGATGCAAAATGCTTTGATGTACTCAACTGAGATTTTTGTGAATTCTTTCAATAAAGTCTCCAATACCGAGCTGTCCATAACATGAAAATGTGTTGGTTAAGGATTCTATTCTCAACCAAAAACAGCGGCTAACGATCAGTAGTGATTCATATACGTCAGTTTTGAAGGATGAAAGAAATGAGTGGTGGTATCCGACAGAGGCCTGTTATTGTGTTAGTCTCTTTTTTTTGTATTATATTATCTATCTACCGTAAGCAACAAGCATTAGTTGATAATAAAAGTTATATCGGATAATATCAATGCGGACGGTAAGGATGTTCATAGAGACCTGCTTAAGGCCCAAGAACAGAAGGACAATTGACTACTCCACTTCAAAGGTAAAACTTTGAGAAATGGTAAAGCATATGACTTCATGCACACATTAGAGGATGAAAAGAAACTTCCGGTAACAAATATATAAAAAAATTGTAATTAATTATTATAAACTTTTAATAATTATATTTCCAAAAAGAAATAGATAATTCGGGAAATGATGGAATATATTGATCAGACGGCTTTCAAAACTCTAAGTAAAGGATTTTTTATTCCTTTTCTATAATATGCCAACCAAGTGTGGAACTCTCATCTGAACAAAAATATACATTTATGTCATTGCAAACGTCCAGAGAAGAGCTACTCTGTTGCCACCAGACATATCTAACCCGTCTTACTCACAAGCAGTTCTTGCAGTTCCCAACATTAGCATATAAACGTATCAGAGAAGGCATAAGAGAAATTCATGACAGGGAACTTTGAAATCGAAGTTTCTTCACACCATATAAGTGGTATAACTATACAAATATAGAATCAGACTATATATAAGAAAATAGCATTTCGTTAAAGAGCGGTCTCATTGCCTACCATATGTTATTGCCTCATGAACAACTTCTAACCCTTTAAAATCGTACCTTGACCATCACTGGAAATCAACCAAAACGCTATAGCCAAATGTAACCCATCCTTAGTGCAATTTGTGCTTAATATATATATCTCAAGCTCATAGCTATGAACACACCTACAGATGGTTATATCTATTAATCGAACCAAATTCTGCAATTTCTTATTCATCGATGTTTTCCTAATATTATGATTTTATTGCCGCCCAATAATTGAATATGTAGATAAACATTACTACATAAACACTGTAGACACGCCCCACTCGACATCAACAATATAACCATTCCTTACTAAATATCAACACTACTGACACCCCGCCATCCCACTTCAAGTACAATCATGGAGCTTGTACGAAAACGTTTGAACTAGATAGAAAGATAATTGCTTACTAGCAAGGTACGCTGCAGTAGGCACAGTCTCCACTTTCGCTGTTGGCGACAAGCAAATCGATACATTCGAATTCTGCAATATGACCAACATCAAAGATTATTTATGATGTTTTGATACGTAACTTTAAATGAAAAAAAAAAAAAAACCCACAAATGAATAAATCAGTAGCATAACTCAGTACCCATCCAGGTTTTGACCTTATTTCCGAGCACCATAGATTTCAACAGTCGTATCGTAGGCTTAATAAATCCTTATTATGACTTCTGACTTATTACCAATTAAAATGTGCTATTCACTTTTGTGTCTTCTGGACAATCTTTTCATTCAAATCTATAATTAGATCCAGTAAATCGAAATAATGAACCACACTGCATCATACAACTTTTTCATCTTTACAGGACTATCTGTTGATTTTGAATGCCTTGATAAAGAAACCTAAGTGTCGACTGAGAAAAATCTAAAGTGACAGAAAGAAAAGTAAAAAAAATTAGATGGAGAGATACAATGGTGCCATTTCTGGAAACTTTTGTGACATATATCTGATCGTTTCTTCAAGTGCATGTGCGTATTCTGAACTATTTTGCGTTTAATGAGCTTCGCCTAAGAAACTTTGAAGCGTAATATCCTGGTTTTAGTAGTTTATGTTATTATGAAGGATCGTCAAAGTGTTAAAAAATATGACCCGTTTGAACTTACAAAGCTATTTTTATCGCCTTTGTTCCTAATGATCTTGAATGTGAACCAAGGTCATTGTAAACGCAAATTTTTTACGGGGGCGTTCCCTCTGAAAACTGATATCAGGCCTTTGATTTGTTTAAAGTAATACATTGACGCCGGACAAACGGACGGACGACAGACGACGGATGCCACACAACGGCATAAAATTACTTGGCCATTTAATCCAGGTTAGATATAGACAAGTTAACATCAACATATAGCTATATATAAGGATCTAAAAATTACATCAGAATATATAGTTTTACCTTCTAACGTATGGCAGGTCGTGGTGTATTTTCCATTGCAATCCCAAAACTTCCACGCGCAGTGACATCCACAAGTCGCAAAAAAGTGTGTACAGTTCTGGACACATTCCTTGTGAGGATCAAATAAATGATATACAGTATAGATAACGATAAAGGTGTTTCAGTGTTTGTTCTGGGGGATTTTAAGTTCACATTTAATCTAAAAACATACTATGCACTTACAGCTATAGAGGTGATAGAGTTCGTGCAGCGGCTTGTCTTTCCAGGAAGTCTTTCATACATTACCTTGAACATAATATACACGAGTTCTAATACGGTTGTGTAAGCAGCAGTAAACACAAATAGCTTTTAACGATCAAATTGTGACAAAAGTTGAAAGAAGAAAACAAAAACATATTGACACGTTGCCACTTGTAGAATAATGGTAAATATGTAGATTTTAAGTCAAATGATGCTTATAATTACCAAAAGATAGTCAACAGATGTCAAACATTGTGTTCCATAAGGTAGAAAACCAATACAGACAGGTCAGAGGTCAAAGTCCTGAACATTAACCACAAGATGTTAGACCGATAAAATTCAAGCACTAAACCAGAGACACCAGTCAGAGGTCATACGAGGTGCATCGTAATCTACAGTGCCAATACAGGTTTTTTTAGATATAGAAAATGAAAGGTGAAGAACACACTGATACAACATAGTACATTGTGTACAGATGGATACGTTTAACGTGACATGTAAAATTTCAAATATATAGATATCAACACTTTCATGTGAAAGAGTTAGAGCAAGTACATTGCCAATAACGTTAACAGGGAAAACGTCATTATGATAATTAATAATTCACAATTTAAACATATTGTCAACGAAAACTTACTGTTGATAGACCAATGTCAACATCGAATCCAGTTGGTACATCAAAGTTAACATTATCAATGGAAATTTTCACTCCGGCGGATCGTGAAAAAAACGGGACATATTCTTGTTGTTGTACGTTAACAATCAATTCTAGCCCTACAACAAAGGTTCTTGTTGAATATATCAAAAATATCAAACTAGAAATATGATAATATGAGAGTGGAAAAATAAAAAGAATCGTCTTACAAGCTATTCTATTTATTTTGAATTAATTTTGAGTATTTATGTTACTTAAATTTCCGCAAAATTATATTTACGTGTACCCTTTCTCTATTGCAATTACAAGCAGTTTTATATTTATATCATTTGTGTATTAAACATAAATCAACGTTTAATCAAATTTAATTAAATGTTCATTTCATGAGATTCACGCCATCTCTCTATTTGCACCATTGTTACAACATATTTAATCATCATTTGCAACATTATTACATAAGAGTTACACGATTGTTAAATCTGATATGATTTGCATCATTTGTACACGAAATTTGCATGAATTGTACATGAAATTTGCATCGTTTGTACATGAAATTTGCATCATTTGTACATGAAATTTGCAACATTATTGCTAGAAATTAAACCATCTATACATTAGACTCACATCCGTCCTACTTGAAATCGATTCATGTACAAATATATCTGATATTAACATCTTTTGTGCCTGAGATGTAAACATCTACATGCATGCATACAAATTTTATATATAAACCACTTTGGATTTACATCATATCTACACGATAATTTCATCATCAATATATAGCAATTGCTTAATATGTACATGATATTCACAGCATTGTTGCATGTAATAGACAGCTTCGGTACATGGGGACTATTTGTAGAATAAAACATATATACATAGAATATATGGTCCTATTCTAATGTGTACACCTACCAGATAACGGTCCCGGTGTCTTGATGGTATCGTTTACTTCAAACTGGACACACAAAGTATCAAAATCCGACGATAAAATATCTGTGATGTCACTGAAACGAGAACAATGATTCCATCATGTTAAATTCAAAGTTAGGTAAAGCCTCTGGCTGTGACGGCATCAGTCATCATGTGTTAAATACACATACTGTTCACATATCACATATATTATTAAGTCATATCGCTATATACTTGTTCTTATTTAGCTACGTAGAAAACAACAAAAGTTATATTTTAAGTTATATTATTCTTTAAAAAAAGAGGTGATCGGCCTACTCAATCGAATCGCATTTTAAATATTTTTACAAGTACTTTATAAGTAATTTCCTTATCTCAGAACACCAGTTTGGTTTTATGTCAAGCCATTCTACAGTTTATCAACTATATGAAATATGTCACGATATTATTATGACACTTTAGGAAAAACATTCTTTAGCATTTCATTCACATCAAATCACTCTCTTTAGTCCATCAGTATTATCACAGCCAGAGTACGATGCTGACGGTACCACTATTTAAGATCACCTACCCGTGATATGGCATCTAAGACCTAGTTAGATCGCGGGATGAACAACAGTGGTTGCTACATGAAAGGTTAACCATGGTTGAAAAAGGCTTTGTTTATAACAAATTACATAGATGGAAATCGTTAATTTTACTTTATCTTGGGTGAGGAAATTTAAATTTTAAGGAAACACTTAGATGTTGTTTTCAATTCAAGTGATAAGTGGTAATTTGAGTTATGTTTACAATTCTGTCCTGAAATTTTGAAAAGTTAAGATACATTCTTGATAAAAATGATAATATTTTTTTGAAAATTTATGACACTTCATTTGATTATACCACTGCTTTATATACTGTTAATCAATTACATTTCGAGAGGGATTTATTTTCATTTAAGTGCGCAAGGAGAGTCAATTGCGAATTTAACTCCATCACGGTTATATGTATGAAAATCAGTCTTGGTGTTGTCCTTGCTGGTTCGGTTACAGATATATACCTAACAGCATACCATTCACGAATTTAAAGTCATTTTTAGATCACCGTTCGCGAAATCATGTATTCGCATATACGTCTGGAGAAGTTAGTTCCCAAAACAAAGTATTCGCGAAATCTATGTGATTGAAATGAGAATGGAAAAAATATCAGACTTATAAGAGCTGTTCTTATTCAGTATGAAAAACAGTAAGGTTCCTTATTTTCAAATAGACCTCTTTCGTTCTTCAGTTATTTAGACAACTCTTTACATATGGAATTAACAATGGTTTTATTGTTACAAATAATTGACTTTCTTGTGCGCTCTTCTTTATTATTATTTTTTTCATCCATATCATTTGTCTTGGTACATGCTAGACATAGAAATCAGATCTTCTTATCTTTCTACTTTAAAAACCGCAATTTCACAACCAGTTAATAACAGAAAGCATCCTCATTCTATATTTTCCCTAGAATGGAAAATAATTTGATTGCATGCGAAGTTGAGATAAAAATGTTGAATCTAAGAATTGTGACAGCTCTTGTGGACATTTTTGTGAGAATTCCTATCACTACTTTTGTCCTCGTATAGGTATAAAAAAACACTTACTCTGCAGTGAAATATTGATTAATTAATTGATTAAGAATATATTTGATATAAATAATTAATTAATATAAATTGCTGTTCCTAGGAAATCAAAGCCTGTCAGTAGATACTAACACTATAAGTTTGATGAGCAGAAGTACATAAGATCCAGTCAAAGGTTACGCAGAATTTATTATTATATTTATTGGATAAAACAAATGGTATCCATGGTGATCAGATCATGCTGTTTCTCATTTCATGTAAACTTAACGGTGGACAGGTCCTTCGTAATGTCGAAATGAAAAATTTCAATGCTTAAATAAAAAATATCACTCCGTACTGCATATAATATATTAAATTTAAGCTATTCTATAGAGGAACCCAATCTAGATATCCAACATATAATATATCGACGGTCATCATTCGCGGAAGTCAGCACTTTCATGATCAAGTTCCGGTTCCGTTTAAGACTTTCATACGAAAATGAACCAAGTCTGCATGAAGAAAAGTCTTAACATTTTATGGCTTGGAATCTAAGAATAAAATGGGAATGTGTCCAATTCGATACTTAAGCCTGTTTTGAGCTGTTCTAATATCTAATTACTTATGTTATCCAGTACGCTTACTTCAACTTCGTTCTTCACTTTAAGCTTCACATCAATCATCAACAGACTTCTGCAATAGGTTCTATGTGTTGATAAACAGCGTATATGAGACAGCTATCAGAATGCATGACAAAGTTCCAATTTGAATGATCCACATGACGAAAACTTGAAAAGAGGAATACCTCGATATGTCTCTATAGGACGGGCGTGGTTAGCAGTGTTTTGTGTATAATGGCCGTGGTGTTTTTAATGAAGTTTGTCAGATTTGGTTTGGAACTTTGCAGGTACTATGTTACAGAAAACGTTTTTCGAGCACTTTATAATATTCCTCACTACAACAGTTGATACGTCTATAGAGCTGATAGTACAGGCTTACCTGTCAGCACATGGGATGGAAGTGAAAAAACATTTGACGATAAAATCGGAGGACGTGTCATTGTTGTAATAATCCTCTTCCAGTTTGTCATAAGCTCTCAAGAGGAACATTGTGTTCAATATCCGCAAAGCCGTGTCAGTATCTAGTCAAATATAGTTGACAATGTACGGCATGAGGAAAAGCTTACTAAAACAGAAAACTAGAGACAAAAAACTCACAAATGAAATAGTTTTCAATACAAATGAAATAAGATACAACATGGTCAAAAGATGAAGTTATGCAATATCATACAGCTGTTTCATCCTTAAAGGAATCATCAGTGATGCTTAGTGCCTACAATATTAAATAGTGTACTTCTGCGCACAAAAACTGGTTGAAAGCATTGCCAACATGTGTATATGAGGAGAAAGTACTATTAATGATAGTGTTTTATTTCAAACAACAAGATAATTTCGTATACTAGCGTGTTTGTTAACTGGTGCTGAGTTCATCAGACCGTCGAAATAGGGGCCAATGCCAGGTACGATCTCCGTGTAGCAGTTGGTGACTACCATATGTACAACATAAGAGAGGCCCATTGCATTCAACAGAAATTAGGTAAAGGTTCTTGTTTAAGGACAAAACAAGGACTGCACAAAGATAACTTCAAAACTTATTGAAAAGCACTAACCGTAGGGATCGAATCTACATACCTTGGAAACCCATTTGTGGTTGATTGGACTGGACCGACTTTCACTACACCTGGATGCTTTCAAACGTCAAGTACATGTACACGTAACCTTGTAAGAATCAGTTTAGCATTTTTTGACAAAATTCAGCTTTGGGGAAGAGGAAACTAAATCTACAACCCTTACAACTTGTGATATGAAATTACCAAATGAGTGGAAACGATTACAATGTAACTTACCTTCAGAAACTTGGATCGGCGACTCATACGTGTACTTGGGCAACTAGAAGTCAAGAATTTCCATGTCAGTTTTTCTATTTTATAATTTGATAGACGAGAAAAAAAAACATTGATAACCAGCTCTAAAGGGTTCTTTTACACGATTCCTTAAAGGATTGCATTTCCGTACTGTTCATTTGAAACATACTGACAAATGGCAACAAGTCATAAAAATATTCTGTAAATAGTTTTGAAAATGTGAAGGATTCCTGTATACTCTGTCATATTCTTATATCCTTGCATACTGTGAAAACAACTGACATAACTTACCGGTACATCAGTGAACAAGTTCATATCAATGCCTGTTAGATCCGAAGCAGTTTCCACTATTTGAGCGAGTTTTTTGTCCTCTCTGACCTTGGAGAAAGGTATGACATTCAGGTTACAGATTTGAACTGTTGGAAATCGTTGGCTTTTCTGCTCGAAACTGATTATCGTGGAGATAGGTAATCTGTAAAAATGCGTACATTACTATTAAGAGAGAGCTGTTTACGTCTAAAAGATTACACATAAGGCACACAAGTGAATAGCACCTTTTGATACAAACTTAGACTTACATGTAGATACAGTAGAACAATAGAACAAATAGATCTGCGTCATACAGCTGATTTGACCTTCAATGATGCGAAGGGCCTAAAATTTGAAACCTAGTTGGCGACTGAGGAAAATCGAAAATAAAAATCAAAAGAAGGGAAGGTTCATTAACCCAATAATTCAACAGATTTAGGTAAATAATAATAATTTTAGAACAACGTGAGATATCTTTGTATATCCCATACCATGCCAACAATTTCCTGTAATATGATCTGTCCCCAAGCATCGTGTACTATAAGTTGAACGATGATTTCTAAATTATTCCGATTAAAAGGGCGTTTTGAAGTCGAGATGACTAGATACATTTAACGATCAATTCTGGCGTGATCACTAGGTGTACTATAAATTGAACGGTAATTTCCAATTTTTAGGCTAAACGTACTCAGTACGCATAGCCTATTGTGACGGCCTTTCAGACAAAATTTACCGATCCTGGCCTTCTCATTGGCTGAAATATCGGAAAGAGTTAGAGCCCTCTAGTGGCAATTTTCTGCGTAAATAATGAAGCGATTTTTCAAATCGCTATTTTAAAAACATCCAAAATTAGTTTATTTTTTAATAACAATAAGATTACTATATATTTAAAAAAGAAGCACAGTGTGGTTGAACTATTTACAAATTTTTAACAATATATTTTACGGAATTCTCGACATGACGTAAGCACACACAACACTGTACGTGCGAGTTGGCGCCATGATAAGAAGCTAGTCTGGGGACTTGGTTTGAATTATCAACAACACTTCTAAACAAAAAAACTTACAAACATAACATCAATTTTGTTTTAATTCTTGTCGTTGTGGCGAGATCGTCTTAATATACAACATCTCTTTACATCATTAGATATATATTAGGTATTAGATATGACATTTTTTCAGTTTTTTCACACCCACCGCCATGACACTTTTTCAAGTTTTTGAAGATAAAAAGTTTGCGCTTCGTAGGCAAGGTACATTTGGTGCTCATGATTTATGAATGATATATTTTTAATACTGTATTGATCATGATGTTGACTTTTATAACTTATATTTTTTGCCTTTTAGTTTTATTTGATGAAGGTTGATTGTGCTGATTTCTCAAGGTTTGTTAAAGTGTATCATAGTTCCTTGAAATGAAAATATTCCTTCAAACAAAGCGCGTATAAAAAAAAACCCAAAATATTCATGTTTGTAATTATCAATTAACTAAAACGAAATATTTCCATAACATATTTATTCATTTAGCGTGTCATGGTGACATTATCTAATGCATTGGAGATCAGAAATAGTAGTAGCTATAGTGAAAATATTGTAAATTTTGTATATATATGGAAGTCTGGTTTAATCTCAAAGAACTATGTCTTTATAGACATAATTAATGCAAGAAAAGTCTAACCATAATACTTCAAGGAAGATAGGCATGCAAATACATTTAATGTAATTTCTTACACTTCAATCTATCTGAAATGCTGTGTACACCTTGTCTACTTTCCTCAACTACAAATATAATTATGATACGTAAGGACTATTACTTTGCAAATACATCCAAAATAAAGAAGTAGGTATAAAGTCCTTTCGATTTGTTTAAATCCTCATGTTGATAGGATAGTAATTGCAACATCTTGGGTATTTCAAAGGTTTTATTTAGTCAACTTCATCATAGAGCTATATATCATTTGGCTTGTTGGCGATAAATATATGGTTGTGTGTATTTTATGTTTTTTAACTATTTTGATTTATTCACATTATTGTCGTCAAATTTTAATTAAAGAAGATATAAAATCGTTTAAAATTAAGAAAATAGCCTCTGGTTCTCTTATTTTAGTAATTTTTGCATTCCAAAGTGTAGGAGTAAGGGGAAAGTAATATAGCTTAGCGGTTATTTGTGAACATTTTTCAATACGTTTAGCTTATCAGTACTTTCAGTGCTCTGATTTCCTATTAGAAGGGCGTTTTGAAGTCGATTTTAACTATCAATGCTGTCGTGGTCAATATAGATGTCCGTTTAAGCTATATATATATGTTAGTGTTGTCCTAATAGCTTAGACATAACATGTCAAACATTTATCATCTCTATCTATACACCACTATCAACCGTACTTATATAACCTTAGTGTTCATTTCTCCATACATACATCTCAACTTCAAAGTAAAAATAAAGTAAGTTCTTAAAACAAAAAGAATCAGAATACTGCATACTGGTTCTGGGCAGGGAGAACAAAATTGCTATAATTAATTTGATATCTATATTTTCAAAAATTAAAAACCTTATCAAAGAAGTCTTATTCTCCATTCATGGGATGCATAGCTGCTGGTCATCTACCGTACAGTTTGTGCAGCTCAACTCTGTTGCATGTTTTCAAAACTTGTTGACAATGGAAATGTGATATAGATTAGTGACACAGAGAACGAGACAGGTAAGTTCATTAGAAAGAACTATCATAAACGGTAGTGGTGTTTAGTATGACGGTGAACGAAGGGATAAATCAATCTTGGAATCTAAGAGTTACACAAATATATTCATAGTGTATGGGATTAATTATCATATTTCAGCCTAGGTCGGTGATCGATAAGATTTTGCAGAAGAATCACTTCGGAATCTTTACTATATAACAACCTATTGTTAATGACACAACCGACTATAGACGCCATACATTGTACTTAGCTACATATGCTTTCTAAGTGTATATATAAACCAACTCGTTTAAGTGTGTACTCTGTAGCGCCCAGCACCATAATAACGTGCTTCTTACAATATTCTAACAGGTCGTTAGCTTCATAATATTTTCACAATCGATTTCTACGAAATTATTTCAGGTTCATTGAGACTGATACAAACAGCGGAATCATCAAACTTATCTGATTGACAACATCTTTGTCGAGTTCGGTGATAAGATCTTCCAACAGACTGTTGGCTGACCTATTGAAATAAAACTGTGCCCATTTCTTGGTTGACTTAAAAAAGATCCGAGACTGAACTTATGGAAAAGCTTTTCAAAACAGGTCATGAAGCAGAGGACACTTACACTTCTAAAACACCTGGTCTTAACTTCCATATACCTTTTCATGATTCTCCATCTGTATCTTTTGTTCATAGTTTGCTTCAATTACATAGACTGTGATAATTAAGACTCTGGTGACAAGCCTGTATTTCCTTTGTTTTGATGAACAAATGTAAATTATAATTCTATGGATAAAACAAATTAATAAGGAAAGAGAACACAGCGTGTATAGGTGATTCCGCGGGGACTTTGCATCAATCATCAATCCCACCATCCATTCATGATATGTACATCATGTACGGGTACAATTATCAGTCCTATATTTATACTATATAGGTGTACAAAGCTCCTGTGCACGCTTCCTTCAGAAATGTACAGAAAAAAGGCAGAATAGAGAACCCTTTGAGTGGAAAACAAGGAATTCATGGTATCTGCAAATCTGTATTGATACATTTCATTGCGTAAGATATATCAACTGAAGTAAAATTGGGTTTTTTAAAAAGACATTCGTGCAACAAAATATAGCCTATTTATATAGCTTTTAATTAAACTATCCTATTTTTCCTTTACAATGTCAAAAACGTACTATCATTTCATAACGAAAATGAAAGCATTCGTTCAAAAATTCGAACTTTTAAATCAACAGGTTTGACGCTACAAACTTACCATTGAAACAATGCAAATCTTCAACCAATTCGCTCCTATAAGCATTGTTACTTGTGATGTAATAACACAGTTTATCAAAGGGATGTTATTTCACTGATGATAGGGTAGTTATTTGATAACAAGGTTGTCACAGCATACAATGCTTCAATTTTATTTTGTAGAAGCATTACATAACTATTATCACAATGGTTGATATTTGTATTGAAACGTAGCCGGTGACTATCAGCTGTATCATTGTTATAACTTTTCAACACGTAAGTATGAACATTTCTTTTTCTTTATTTATCCTATCTACTCAAAGCAAAGATTACGTAATATTCTACTTAGCATGTACGTAAGTATAACCATCTTTAAAATTCTAAATCGGGAGGTATGTGATATCGAAAATCGGGAGGTAGGTAATATCGAAAATCGGGAGTTACGTAATATCGAAAATGGAGAGGTAGGTAATAACGAAAATGGGGAGTTAAGTAATATCGAAAATGGGGAGGTAGGTAATATCGAAAATGGGGAGGTAGGTAATATCGAAAATCGGGAGGTAGGTAATATCGAAAATGGGGAGGTAGGTAATATCGAAAATGGGGAGGTAGGTAATATCGAAAATGGGGAGGTAGGTAATAACGAAAATCGGGAGTTAGGTAATATCGAAAATCGGGAGGTAGGTAATAACGAAAATCGGGAGGTAGGTAATAACGAAAATCGGGAAGTAGGTGATATCGAAAATGGGGAGGTAGGTAATATCGAAAATGGGGAGTTAGGTAATATCGTAAATGGGGAGGTAGGTAATAACGAAAATGGGGGGTTAGGTAATATCGTAAATGGGGAGGTAGGTAATAACGAAAAGCGGGAGGTAGGTAATAACGAAAATCTGGAGGTAGGTGATATCGAAAATCGGGAGTTAGGTAATATCGAAAATCGGAAGGTAGGTAATAACGAAAATCGTGAGGTAGGTAATAACGAAAATGGGGAGGTAGGTAATAACGAAAATCGTGAGGTAGATAATATCGAAAATCGGGAGGTAGGTAATAACGAAAATCGTGAGGTAGATAATATCGAAAATGGAGAGGTAGGTAATAACGAAAATCGTGAGGTAGATAATATCGAAAATCGTGAGGTAGGTAATAACGAAAATCGTGAGGTAGGTAATAACGAAAATGGGGAGGTAGGTAATATCGAAAATCGGGAGGTAGGTAATAACGAAAATCGTGAGGTAGATAATATCGAAAATCGGGAGGTAGGTAATAACGAAAATCGGGAGGATGTTAATTTTAAAAATCGGGAGGTAGGTAATTACGAAAATCGGGAGGTAGGTAATAACGAAAACCGGGAGGTAGGTAATTACGAAAATCGGTAGGTAAGTAATAACGAAAATGGGGAGGTAGGTAATATCGAAAATCGGGAGGTAGGTAATAACGAAAATGGGGAGGTAGGTAATAACGCAAATCGGGATAAGGTAATATCGAAAATCGGGAGGTTGGTAATATCGAAAATCGGGAGGTAGGTTATATTGAAAATCAGGAGTTAGGTAATATCGACTTGAGTTAACCGCTCTTCATAGATGTTATCGATAACTCAAATCTAATTTCTTGGAAATAAAAATGAGTCTCATACTCTAGTGGGGAATATCCCAGAATCATGATCAATTGGCGGTTTATATAGGACTACATAGAGGACATTAACAACAATCATTGATATACAAAAGTAAATCCAAACCACGAGAAAATTCAATGAAAACCGTCTTTTGAAACTTTTGATGCCTGTGTACTTAAAGAAATGAGGAATACACGTCATAAATAGATACAGAGTATAAAACTTACGATAGGTATTGTTGGTACAGATTTTGTGTCGTATATAGGACAGCTGCCAGAGAAGACAAACAGGCTAGTGTCCATACTAGCTTCTGTATCCAGAACTTCGTGGCGGCCAGTCGTCCCAATCCGTGGATGGTTGTGTATCCTAAAAAGTCCAAAATCAGTGTCTTCATCGGCCCGTTGGCCATCACCGCGCGTTGAAAAAATATCAAAACGCAAAAACGAATGTGAGAAAATGTGATGAAGACATGCACGTCACAGGTTTGTTGACACTCACTCGCATCTTACAATAAACAACTATACATAATCTCGTTTTCTGTTTTGATTCATGAAAATAAATCAAGACAACTTATCCTTTATACAAAGATGAAATATGCATGGCTATGGTGCCATGGCAACAAGGAAACTAATTGTTCCTGAGACGATTCTGTTGATAAATCATGCTTCAATGCTTTAAATCAATGCCACTATTTAGATCGCATATATAATATTTTGTAAGGAGTTACCGTGTCGTTAGACTCGTTTTTTACGTGAATAATTTACAGCAATTACTGAAATGCATCCATCCGGAAATGTGGGTTTGAGTTGCATCCATACTTGTACCTGTGTCAAGGTCTTAACAAACCGACTGTATGATTGTTAATATATGTATATGACTTGGATTCTTTCTCTCCATTAGATGCATTGTATCAGTCACTCTTCAAAACCATTAACAGACTTGGGCTGTTTCTGCGGCTTGTGACAGGTGCTCAAAATAGTCGATTTGATTTAAGGAAGAAAACGCTCTAAAAAGATTCTCATCAGAAGGAAGACAATTACCGTCGAGCTTTACTCAAGTTAAAATAAAACAGTGAAATTATAAATTTAGGAATTTTAATATCTGCTTTTGAAATGCATAGAATATACTCCGTCATATTTTTAATAACATTTTTCAGAGTATAAGAAGCTAAAAGAATGAGTGATACATCCATGTGTCTAATGGATTACATACTATGTAATAATACATAAAGATATCCAGTCAGGAGTCTGTAGTATTTTTGTTATCGACTACATTATTACATCACCTACCAGAAAAAGTACAATATGTCCCAAAATTACTGCCAGAACTCGGTTTTATTTTACTGCCTGAGACGGAGTGGGAAAATTGTTTCCTTGCATGGGACATAAACCGGGCCTTTAAAGTCCCCAGACATTTATTCTCAGAAACATTACATAGAGCAGAGACGTCTCTGCATAGAGTAACTAAAAATGGAAATAAAATAAAATAAAACAAAACAAAACAAAAGCAAAAAAACGAAACAAATAAAAAAAAACAAATCAAAAACAACAAAAAACAAAAATAAACACAAAAGCAAAGGGAAAATCGAATCAAACAGATGATCAAACCTTGGATTTATTTATTGCATAAAGATACTCCAAATTATACTTTTTAAGAAAATGAAATTGCTGAATCTATAAACAATTCTGTGAAGGAACTGTGTTCAAAAACTGGTAAAAGTGCTTATTATGGAAGCAATTTAAAAGTCTAGGATATATATGGAACACAAAATCACGTGCAAAATCTGTACTCGAAAATGATGGCGAAACTTGTCATGATAGCATCTCTTCTGCCAATCAGCTTTACAGCTTGTAGAAGAAAAGTACCCAATGTAAAAGATTTTTTCCGATCTAATTCCTGCAAAGTCTTGAAAGGGTGTCACACCTTCAGTCAAGATCCTTAGCACATTCTCATCACTACGTCCACGCCCACGATTCTGGTGTCGGTTAGAACTGTCGTTTACTTTCTAGTCGCACAACTCTTTACGTGAAATCTGTTGTTTGTAGATAATCTCTGAAATTCTTTGCTATAAAAAGTATTTCATCAATAAGAAAATTGAAAAATTTTAAAGTACCGGGTCACAAAGTTTAATGTTATCGTTATATCGATTGTAGAAAGGGGCAGATTCACAAGGCAAGATCGATGATGTGTGAAGTTCGATAAAATTATATATATTTCGTAGAAATCTCGTTATTAGTAGATTATCCGTGTGTAATCAAGATGATAAGACCTACAAACACTGTTCAGTGCATTGATGGCCTATCTCAGAACTTCGTATTCGCTTATTTTAGTAATGTAAACAATCCTATCCAAACCGAAATACTGCTACTCAGTGACAAAAACTGAAAATCGTTTGAATTTTTCATCGACAGCTCTATGAGATTTGAGTGATCTATTAACTCTCTCTCCCATATAGACCTGTTAAAGTATGCCCTCTAGTGGCAATTTTCTGCGTAAATAATGAAGCGATTTTTCAAATCGCTATTTTAAAAGCATCCAAAATTAGTTTATTTTTTTTAAATACAATACGATTACTATATATTTAAAAAAAGAAACACAGTGTGGTTGAACTATTGATAAATTTTTAACAATATATTTTACGGAATTCTCGACATGACGTAAGCGTACAGAACACTGTACGTGCGAGTTGGCGTCATGATACGAAGCTAGTCTGGGGGCTTGGTTTGAATTATCAACTAACAGCAATTATAAACAAACAAAACTTACAAACAGAACATCAATTTTGCTTTAATCCTTGTCGTTGTGGCATGATCGTCTTAATATATAGCATCACTTTACCTCATTAGTCGTCACAAAATTGGACTGTTCGTCCCACGCGCACACCCGCCGATATGATACTTTTTCAGTTTTTTCACACCCATCGCCATGACACTTTTTCAAGTTTTTGAAGATAAAAAGTTTGCGCTTCGCAGGCGAGGTACATTTGGTGCTCATGATTTATGAATGATTTATTTTTAGTACTGTACTGATCATGATATTGACTCTGTTATAACTTATATTTTTTGCCTTTTAGTTTTATTTGATTAAGGTTGATTGTGCTGATTTCTCAAGGTTTGTTAATGTGTATCAAAGTTCCTTGAAATGAAAATATTCCTTCAAACAAAGCGCGTATAAATCAATCCCAAAATATTCATGTTTATAATTATCAATTAACTAGAACGAAATATTTCCATAACATATTTATTCATTTAGCGTGTCATGGTGACATTATCTAATGCATTGGAGATCAGAAATAGTAGTAGCTATAGTGAAAATATTGTAAATTTTGTATAAATATGAAAGTATGGTTTAATCTCATAGAACTATGTCTTTATAGACATAATTACTGGAAGAAAAGTCTAACCATGATACTTCAAGGAAGATAGGCATGTAAATACATTTAATGTAATTATTTACACTTTTATCTATCTGAAATGCTGTGTATACCTTATCTACTTTCCACAACTACAAATTTAATCGTAATAAGTAAGGACTATTACTTTGCAATACATTCAAAATAAAGAAGTAGGTATAAAGTCCTTTCGATTTGTTTAAATCCTCATGTTGATAGGATAGTAATTGCAACATCTTGGGTATTTCAAAGGTTTTATTTAGTCAACTTCATCATAGAGCTATATATCATTTGGCTTGTTGGCAATAAATATATGGTTGTGTGTATTTTTTTCGCCTATTTTGATTTATTCACATTATTGTGAATATATATATATGAAGATATAAAATCGCTTAAAATTAAGAAAAATAGCCTCTGACTCTCTTATTTTTGTAATTTTTGCATTCCAAAGTGTAGAAGTATGGGGAAAGTAATATAGTTGAGCGGTTATTTGTGAACATTTTTCAATACGTTTAGCTTCTCAGTACTTTCAGTACTTTGATTTATGTTTACCATCTCGTCACACTTGTTTCGACCTTAGTGAACATAGAATTATAGTACAGTCGCACTGGTCATTTGTCTGACGAAGGTGACTGTGTAGTCATCGAAACGTCACACTCTAATCTTCTACTGGTTGTGTTATAAGATGAAGGTGACCGTGTAGTCATCGAAACGTCACACTATAATCTTCTACTGGTTGTGTTATAAGAACTTATATTCCATTTACATTACCAGCTTGAAGAAAATATTTGAAAAATAGTAAGTTGAAGGTTATTGCTGTGGAATAATTTAAAATGGCTTCAATCTTACCTACAAAACGGTCTCGGATTGTTCATGTCATGTTAATGAAGTCAAAGATCGGTTCCTTATTGGAACGTGTTCAACCACGGACTTATATACATATGTATATAAGTCCGTGGTTCAACTATTCGAGGTGATTCAGAAGCAATCAATATACAAAATAAAGTTATGCTGTATAATTTTCCGAATTCCGAAATTCTAGAAGTATCCATAGCGCATAATATTGAACATGGTAAACGTGAGCGCGAGAAATGGTAAGTGATTAACTATTGAAAATATATTATCAGGGAGGAAAAGGGGTAACAGTGTTTTCGGTCTAAAGGGAGGTCACTCTTAATTACCTTCACGTCTTCTGAACTAACGGGATGCATTTTGCTCGTATCTCTTTAGGAACATAATATAAAACTATTGATTTTATCCTTTTATTCCAAATGTTGTTGCCCTCCAGTCATTTTTTAGAAACATATTGATTGTATTAATTTCGATTTGGAGAGTATTGAAAGTAATCACGTGACTGCAGTTGCTGGGAGATCCAGTTGCTAGGCGCGCTATCACAAATACTCCCGCAGGGATGAATCTCAAGATGGAGGTTCAGATTCCCTCGCGGGCATTCTTTGAGATATTCAGAGTCAAGCTGAAGTAAGTAGTTTCTTTAATATATCTGATACATAGTCTACAACATTAATTCACTGATGCGTGTTCTTAATAACGATTTCCAATCAGATGGAGAAAACAAATATCCAATTCAGTCAGTTCGTAGAAATGTTGCCAACATAAACATTTGAGTTAACATTGTAGATTTCATAAGCCACGTCTTTGATATTTTGTTGTATGTAAATATTCCATGCAGATATAGAGGGTTTTAGCCTGCGTCCATTGCATTGTTATTAAATCCTATTGCTATTAAATGGTGCACCTTAAATATCCTAACCACAAGGGCATGCTATTACCATGTTGACGTTCATTCATGATCAAAATGCACAAACAATACACATATAGTCATGTCTATTCCAACGTAAAATAGTTGGAGAGGAAGGTTACATGTAAAATTTATATAATTTAATTTAGACAGACACTGTAGGGATAGAGCAAAAACATGTTTTTTTCCAGAAAATTTACAGATAGATTTGATGTTGAAACTCAAATGATTTGTTTTGGTAATTTCAGAGAAACTGAGAATTTCCTCAATGTCTTGAAGCACAGATGCGAACGTGAAAAAGCGTTGTCTGCAGTCCTTCAGGATTATCAGACAAAAAGTGTTGCGATATTTCAAGAAGGAAGTAAGTTGACCATTCTTTTTATTTTAGTTGATTCCTTTAAGATTTATGTTAAGTTTTTGGGTAACACAATGTTCCAGAATATGCAAAAAGGGCACTCGCAATGTGTGGATGATAGAAAAATTGGGCATTTAAATTGTTTAAAGATTGCATCATGGTGATTATGAATTTAGAAATTACCAATACATTTTACAACAATTATGAAACAAGTAATTTCAACTTATACCAATCACTCATGCTAACCTGGATGTAAGTGCAGGAGGGATCTTACTGTGGGAGGAAACCAGATTACCTAAGGAAATCCCACATGTTTCTGCAGGTGACCCCTTACCTTTTTATGTCCATTCAGAGAATCAAACCCCAGAAGCTTAGGTGAAAGGGAAGTATGTTAACACATACAGTGCCATCCAACCAACAAATGGAAGATAGATATTTTCACATATTCATGCATTTGTAGCTACCTTTTGAGTTAGTCATTGTTGGTTTATGCTAAGTTTTAACCTTTGGAAATTTTGTTATCCTTACCTACTTCTGGTCAATGGAAAACATGTGTTTAGTCTATGAAACAAGCTTAATTCAAGATTTTAAAGATATTTTTATAGTTTCTGCTTATTCTATACTGACATCTTATACCCAAGCTTACTTAAAGAATTCAAAGCTTGTCAAATGGTTACAATTGAATCATTACTGCATATGAACCTCTGTAGTTAGAGATTGTCTGGTAAAACTGGCCAAATCTGAGAAAGTTTCTTTTGCAGCCATGGAATATTTGAGGTTTGAGAAAAAAGTACTTACTATTGATATTTTTTCTCTGCATCTTTTTACAGCTAACATATATTAAAAGTAGAATAATGCATTGATACTTGAAATTCCAACACACTTATTACGATCCATTGCACAGACCAGAAATACCAAGGTCATACAAAATCTTGATACCTGCCTGGAGAGATTAAAATTCTAGAAAACTTTAATTGTAGATCTAACTTGAAAGGCACATACACAGGGGACTCTCATTACATAAAAAATGTACACTCAAATTATTTTTCCTCTGTTCACAAACAAGATATCAAGACAAGTTTTGTTGTCAGAAACATTTGAAATTTTTTTTTAAATCCCAATTTTCTATTTTTAAAAGACAGGAAAAATTATGCTCCTGTGAAGTATGATGTGCTTAAATTTATACTGAATACATGAAGAACTAAACCCATCAGTCATGAACCTGTATACATAGGTAGTGTTACAGGTAATCTGGTAACCAGAATGTGTCACCTGCTTAAGGTATTCATGTATCAGAACATAAGAGACTTGCACAGTGCCCAGATTTGTTTTGTTTGTGAATGTCACATCACTGATGAGGTTCCTAATCATCGATCAACCATACTATTGTTCTGTTTACAATATAATCACTTTACACAATCCTTCTGTTTCATTTATTAATCCATAATATCAATCAACATGTAACCCAACACTCTAAATGTGAGTGCTATTGTGACATACATGTGTGTAGATCATTGTGTTGTAGAAGTTGCGATTGCAGGGAACCTCATTAGCCTTAGCTAGAGGGAATTTCCCTTTCGTCGAGCAGTAGATTGTTTGGTTAGAGACTGAAGGGTCACCAGTTCAAACACCAGTAGTGGCAGGGTGCTTTTCATTACTCTCTATCCTATTACAATGTGATCCCATAACTGGGCAGGTTTTATCGTGTTTGATGAACCTGGCATTGAAAGGTCACCTGTACGATCACCAGGGTTTTCTCCACGTACTCTAGAATTTTCAATGTTAAGACCCTAAACCTTTTTATTGATTTAAAAAAAGTAAAAATTGAAAAAAGAAATAAAATCGAAGATATGAAATATTAAAAAAGAATAAAAAATAAACTATCTGTTTATATCAGGAATCATCAAAATGTGGAAGAAAATTGGGAAAATTTGAATACCTTTCTACTTAATTAGAATAGCAGCCCTTTAATCGTTCAATCATATTGTAACAAATATTCATATCAAGTGAACAAATGAGAGACATATTTCATTTGTATATGAATAGTGTCTTTCTAAAGTGAATAAATTGTCAAATCCAGGATTTTTATCAAAGGAAGCAATGGGATATCAATATGGAACAGCATTTATTAGATAACTTGATTTATTTTTATTTGTTAAAATATACAGGGTAAAAATAATAAGTTTAGACAAGGACTAAAATATCCATAACTATTATTCCTGCAGTAATAAAAAATAAAAATGCAATTTATAAGAAATCCAGCTACATGGTATATAAATACTATGAATTATAGACATATATGGCTTGCTTTGTCAGTGGAACTACACCCTTGTGTTAGCCAGTAAAGTACAGATGTAAGAGACCTATTGTAGTACAATGTCAGACACTGTCAAACACAACCCTCGATGATGGAAACAACATGCGTTTTAGTCATTATTAAGTAATCCATTTCAATGGATATTGGAATAAATGATAGAATCTCCCAATAAATTAACATGAGACTGAAATTTGTTTTAATCATACGAGACTGAATATTCAAATAAGGCAAAACGAATAACAACATGAATCGATTTTAATTGTAAATGAGAGGGATCAAAGTAGACAAAACTCCCTTGGTTAGTGTTCCTACTGATGTACTGTATTCTTACATAAATTTGCGGTAATATAGTTTTTGCTGTTAAGTGTTGCGCTAAAATGTGATTGCGCTACTTGCAGATTCTATGCTCTGTTTAAAGTGAGTTTGTGGACGTGCAATTTCCTATTTGTATTAATTAGCCAAAAGTGATATTTAACTAAAATTTAATCGCACCGATTTAGTCAGTTTACAGTTTTTCTTGAGGTAACTTTGAAGTAAGAATTTCCATTGAAAGTGGAGGAAAGATAATCTATTTGATTATTGACACAATTGTGTCTTTAAATTGTATCACGTATATATATATATATATATATATAAAGTGCATAAAACTAGTTAAATTAAGTTTATTTCCTGAACAGAAATAAATAGTCCAAATCCAAAAAACAAAAACAAAAAACAAAAAAAAAAAAACAAAAAAAAGAAATATTAATTGCCACCTCCTCAACAACAATAAAATCCACTTGTTTTAATATACCTGGATATAACATTCATTGATGATATGATTTCTTTTACATAATTCATTTTTTCATATTAATTATTATTATTCTCTTTATTTCCTCCAAGCTGAAGATTTTACAAACAGAATAATAGTCATTTACATATCAACGCATATACAATTGTTAACAATAACATTACTTGAGCATACTAGATATACATCAATTGAAAAACATAATTGGCAATTATAATCAAGAAATACAGTTCATTAATAGTTTCACTATCCTTATGATGTACATAATTCTTGTATAGAAAAAAAAAATGATATGAATTACACATGCTCTCAGTTAGGCGACCATATGCTACTAAGGTGATACATTTTAAAAATTTTCTCAATAAATATCACTGATCGTAATCTAAAGACATACATATCATGCTCATTTAAATCACAAGTCATCTGTCCTCCTAGGAGGATATATAATAACTCTTGACTTGATAGGGAATGTAGATAAACACTTAGTGAAATACCGTCATTGTTAATATTGGAAATAGAACACCATAATAGATCACGTACATCTTCTGTGTAAGTACAAACTAACACAACATGAGTTAAAATATCATTATGTACAATACCACATTTATGACACAACTCTGGGTGGTCATTTATATAACTAGTTGCAATTATTTTCATGACATAATGTATTGAACTTCTATATTCAGGAAATTTCATTGCGAGCTTCCAAAATATGTGTGGCTCTAATTTACAATGAACATTTCTAAATATATAAAATTCACTATCACGTGACATACGTTCTCTCCACTCTTGCTCTTCTTTCAACCATACACTCGCTTTCACTAGTTTTTTCCATTGCCGCTTTGAAGGGAATACACTTCCTTGTATAAAAGTTTCTAATATACCATATAGGTTATACTTTTTAATAATTCTGATCATGTCATCTACAATTCCTACATTATTTTTCGGCATTCTAAGAAGTGACAAGTAAAGTCGTCTTAAGAATATAGTAAACGTTAACGCAGTTTTATCTAGACAACACAATCTTCCAAAGAATAACAGTTTTTTAATATCAATATAACCTTCTATAGATGTCCAACCAATAAGACCACAACACATATCAGTACGTGTTCTGTTATTAAAACCCTGTATGGCTTTTACAATAAATCGTTGGACACGCTCTAATTTAAGTAATTCTGTTCTGGATAAAATCCACAGTTCACAACCATATAGTGCAGACATATACACAGTTTGTTTAATAAGTTTACCAGCAGTTACTGGGTTTAACGCACTAGGATGTACACCACTCCTAATAATAGACATTGTACCACTTTTCAATTTATTGCAAGCTCGCATTGTCCGTTCGTGGCTCTGTAACCTGTTGTTTAAAATTACTCCTACATGCACAATATTTTCAACTTCTGGTAGAATATTATTATACAGGTAAAAATCAATTGAAGGTTTAACTCTCTTGTCTTTGTTAAAACATATAATTTTACTTTTAACAGACGAGAACAAGAACCTCCATTTCTTGCTATAATCCTCGCAGATCTTAAGCATCCATTTCAAGTCATTACATTTGTTGCTTATCAAACATATATCGTCTGCTTGAGTAGGTATATTTACTCTGATACCTATAACCATTGACCCCTTACCACTCTGTTCTATTATTTCTAATAATTGATTGATAAAAATTAAATACATTTTCGCTGATAAAGCGCTCCCTTGTAAAATTCCCCTTTCCATTTGTACAAACCTAGACCGCAATCCATTGAATACAACACAACTCTTGACCCCAGTATATATACCTTTTAACAGTTTCCACACTTTGGAATTTAAGCCAATTTCATGAAGTTTAAATAACAGACCAGCATGCCAGACCATGTCAAATGCCTTATTACTATCTAAAAAACTTACATACACAGTTTCTCCATTATTTACATTGTAATTTAGACATTCCAACAAATTGAATGATGTACATAAACTGCATAGACCTTTCTGGTAAGCTGACTGCTGTCTACATGGAAATGTATCCGAGTCAAGGACTGAGCTTATCCTTTTCGAAATCAACATTTCAAAAATCCTAAATATAACCGGTAATAGAGTGATCCCTCTATAACTATTCGGATCTTCTTTAGGCTTATTATTACCCTTATATATTGTGATTATCATTCCCTTTTTCCAATCGGACGGTATATATTCGTGCTCTATTACAAGGTTGTATAATCTTGCTAGATATTTACAAAGAATGTCACCACCGTATATCAGATGTTCATAAACAATTCCGTCGAAACCCCCAGATTTACCATTATTTAATGATTTACATATATTATCTACCTCTTCAGAAGTAACGGGTTCATCTAAGAAAATGTCACGCTCATTATGTATGTTGTCCTCTATATCTTGGACACTTCTCAAAATGTGATCGTAAAACTGTTTATCGAAAAATTCACACTCAGCATCTTGAAATAGATTTTCAAAATGTGTAGCCCATATCTCAACCATATCGTTCGGATCACGGTACGTTTTACCGTCATGGTTAATTTCTGTTTGTGTACAATGAGATTTCGATTTTTTACTTTTGAATAAACACCATAACAACTTTTGATTAATTTCTCCTGACTTATCTATTTCTTCGTATTGTTCAGACATGTATCTATTAAAAGCTGTACGCAGACGTCTCCGAAAATCGGTCTTGACATCTTTATAGTCTTTGTAAGTTTTTGATGTAGCGTCTCTAGGCCTATTGTTACCTATCTATTCTTTTCTTTTACGTCTCATAATTGTATGTAAGTTCTTCAATTCTTGACTCCAATAGGGTTTCAAAAACTTTTTGAATTTTACCTTCGGAAGTGTGAGCTCGGAGGCTCTTATTATACATGCAGATATACTTTGTTGGAAATCATCGATTTCGCCATTATCTGAAACATTATTGGGCGAGACTATATCTAATAAAGAATAATTTAATGTATCTCTGTAATTCGGAATGTACCCGTTGGAAACTGATTTCTTCCAATTATATCTCTCACGTGTAACACCATCTACGGATGTACCACCACTGTCGGGGATACTGATGTTACAAATAACTGGACTGTGCTCAGATACATTTAGCTCACAGTCATCTAAAACATGGCACGAGATCGTAGTCACGAGACTCAATTAAAATGTGATCTATCACGGTGTCAAAACCTGTGTATGGCCTTAACGTATGTACAGGTCCTTCACAAATATCTTGCACATTTACTGATAATAAGTGTGTTCTTTCTAAAAAATTCTGGAAATAAATGGTTCGCTCATTATCTATAAAATCATACCTCTGACCTCTGATTTTAACATTCATGTCTCCGAGGGAAAAAACTTTGCCTTTATCGGAGTAAGTGAAATAGAGCGATTCTAAAATTTCGACTAAATCGTGAAAACATCGTTAGATCTCGAGGCCGCTGTCATATAAACGGCGAAACAATATATAACTTGACATGATGATACGCTTATTTCCGCACCAACCACCCCGGGTTATCCACCTCAATTTCACTCACCTTAAGGATCGATTTCTTAAAAAGTAATGCAATTCCACTTCTAATATTACATTTAAGCCTAAATGGGTCTACTTCAAATACAGGTTTAGCTATGACATTGTAGCCAATACATTCAAAATCGTCAAAATATGACATTTCGTGTTCCCTCGACCAATGTTCTGAGAGCCCACAAATGTGTACATCGTAATTTTTTAAACATTGCACAAGATACGGGGTTCCTGATTTCAACCCCCCAGTGTTCCAACACATAAGGTTTAATATACTAACCGCGCCGGTGTTCATCCAAGAATACTTCACGGGGCATCCAGGGTCTCATATGTATACCATCAGGCCAAAAATAGTTGTCAGTTACTATATGTTCATCGTCGGCGATAATGTTCATTTGTGCTGAAGCCGTACTCTTCCACCTTTTTTGGAAATATCGGAGGTGTGTTACCCTTACATTGGACTGGGCCAAAAAGTCCCGCATTGATTCCTCAGAAGCAATACGACTATTCATACCATACACGTAGAATCAACTGATTCTACGTTTATTATGTCTGCTGTAGCCGACAAACTTATCGGCTAAGTTTTTATCCCTACCTTTTAGATGACACTCTGATGATGGGAAATGCACCGATATTTTTGAATGTGAACTATTTGCACTTTCACGACTAGTTATGGGCGGTTCGGGTGACACCATGGTAGAATGCTCATTGGACCTTGTGCTGCCTGACGAAATCACATTCGAAGTTACGTTCGCATAGCTCCTGTCATGTAGAGTATCGCTGTCCGTATCCAGTGGAGTGAAGCGATTTTATACAGTGACTCTTACCTGTTCGGTCGCGCTTGACTGCTGCCACGGGGCAGCGTCACACTGATCAGCTACTGTACAGGTTCCGTTAGAGCTACTGTTTGACGCGTGCACTGTACCATTAGGAGTGCTACTGTTGGAGCTACTGGTTCGTACATGTTTTATCTGTTTCTTAAGTTCATTACATTGTTTTTGCATGTTAGATGTTGCGTGTTTACATTCTCCTATCGCTTTGTTGTTGCTTTCCGCTTCTTCCTCACACGTTTTCGTACGTTGCATGACCAATTTCAATGTCTTTTTCACACTCTCTATGCCGTTCAACTGATTATCGTCGAATCGCTGTGCGATTTGCTTGCAGTCCGAAATTTTATTCTTCGTCACCGTAATGTCGTTGCGTACCGCTATAAGTTTCTTGTCCTGTTCAGTTCGAATCCTCTTAGCATCCTCCCTGACTTCGTTCAATGCTTTACTGATATCGTTTATGTTTTTCCCACTGTTTGTCACTTCAATGTTAAGTTCCGCTAATTTTGTAGATTGTGTGTCAATGATTTCGCAAAGTTTTGTGTTTGTTTCTACTACCTTTCTGATGCTGAAATTTATCTTTGTTTAATTTGATCTCAGTTGTTTTATCTTATTTAAGTCAATTTATAATTTGCATGACCCTCGAAATGAAAACTCGAGACTTATGCCTTCTCATATTTCTATATGGAGGATTTCATCATTAGCTGGTTTCATACCTGATATATTTCAGCAACCAGATTTATGAGAGATTTTAGGAAAGAAAAAATAACAGTGTTGCAAATTGAAAATAAGAAATTTATGGAATCAATGTAAAGTAGGGAATGCAAAAAATCTTTTCCACTTTTAGAGTCGATATCTTCCCACTTGAGAGTTTTCAATGTCCCTCTAATGGAAGAGATGAGGGAGCCTGTTGACCGCAGGAACAAGGTGTCCAGTAGCTTCACGAATGAGGATAATCCCATTTGTCTACTCCAGGAGTATGTATGCCACAAACTTTGTTTTTCATACTGTTTCAGATTTAATATACTAAAGTTTTAATGATTATTTTCAAATATAATTCTATTTTGAATTTTAAACTTGATTTTATATTAGGAGTAATGAAAACACTTCGCTGTTATCAATCAGGACAGTCATATCGGTTTTAGCTTGTGTACTATGGCAGAGTTGTTTGGTAAAGCTAATTTACTTTCCAAATTAAAATGGTAAAATGTTAGGATACATGTATATCATATTACCATTCTGTCATATACCAAATCAATTCAAATCTAAGAAATATCAAATATTTGGTTACAAATGGAATGATGAACTTGGCACACTGGGAAATCCCTGCAGATCTTCTCATGTTAACCTGCCATCACACTCATCATATCTCTCAGGATAATTGCCTTAGCCCTGCTTGGACCTATACCATGTATTTTCAACAGTTGATCGTATGTTGCTACAAGAGGAGAGAGTAGATTGCTTTATTGACAGATTTGTTATAGGTTATAAATCAAGGCTGTTCAAATATAAAGAAAATTTCTGCTTTCAGATGGATAGACAAAAATGGCAATGAAGGGCCAGCGCTGCTTCGATTGGCTAAAAAAACGGTGAAAAAGTATGAAGCACTCGTCACCCGTTTGAAGGTTGAGAGAAAGGTAAAACAGAAGACAAGTTTTTTTTCTTGCTTATACATACTGACATATATTATTGTATAATGTTGTATTATATGTTAGTCCAGAACTTTTTTTTATATTTTTGGCTGTTTTCTGACCATTACGAGATAGTATGACTGACCAAATGTACACTATGTTAGGGTGACTCCTTGTACATGTATGACTGAAGTATAAATCAAAAACCATTATAACATTAATAATTCTACTATGTTTACGTTCTGGGTGTAGCATTAATGATTCTACTATGTTTACGTTCTGGGTGTAGCTACTATGTTTACGTTCTGGGTGTAGCATTAACGATTCTACGATGTTTACATTCTGGGTGTAGCATTAATGATTCTACTATGTTTACATTCTGGGTGTAGCATTAATGATTCTACTATGTTTACATTCTGGGTGTAGCATTAATGATTCTACTATGTTTACATTCTGGGTGTAGCATTAATCATTCTACTATGTTTACGTTCTGGGTGTAGCATTAACGATTCTACTATGTTTACGTTCTGGGTGTAGCTACTATGTTTACGTTCTGGGTGTAGCTACTATGTTTACGTTCTGGGTGTAGCATTAATAATTCTACTATGTTTACGTTCTGGGTGTAGCATTAATGATTCTACTATGTTTACGTTCTGGGTGTAGCTACTATGTTTACGTTCTGGGTGTAGCTACTATGTTTACGTTCTGGGTGTAGCTACTATGTTTACGTTCTGGGTGTAGCTACTATGTTTACGTTCTGGGTGTAGCTACTATGTTTACGTTCTGGGTGTAGCTACTATGTTTACGTTCTGGGTGTAGCATTAATGATTCTACTATGTTTACGTTCTGGGTGTAGCATTAATGATTCTACTATGTTTACGTTCTGGGTGTAGCTACTATGTTTACGTTCTGGGTGTAGCTACTATGTTTACGTTCTGGGTGTAGCATTAATGATTCTACTATGTTTACGTTCTGGGTGTAGTATTAATGATTCTACTATGTTTACGTTCTGGGTGTAGCATTAATGATTCTACTATGTTTACGTTCTGGGTGTAGCATTAATGATTCTACTATGTTTACGTTCTGGGTGTAGCATTAATGATTCTACTATGTTTACGTTCTGGGTGTAGTATTAATGATTCTACTATGTTTACGTTCTGGGTGTAGCATTAATGATTCTACTATGTTTACGTTCTGGGTGTAGCATTAACGATTCTACTATGTTTACGTTCTGGGTGTAGCTACTATGTTTACGTTCTGGGTGTAGCATTAATGATTCTACTATGTTTACGTTCTGGGTGTAGCATTAATGATTCTACTATGTTTACGTTCTGGGTGTAGCATTAACGATTCTACTATGTTTACGTTCTGGGTGTAGCTACTATGTTTACGTTCTGGGTGTAGCATTAACGATTCTACTATGTTTACGTTCTGGGTGTAGCTACTATGTTTACGTTCTGGGTGTAGCATTAATGATTCTACTATGTTTACGTTCTGGGTGTAGCATTAATGATTCTACTATGTTTACGTTCTGGGTGTAGCATTAATGATTCTACTATGTTTACGTTCTGGGTGTAGTATTAATGATTCTACTATGTTTACATTCTGGGTGTAGCATTAATGATTCTACTATGTTTACGTTCTGGGTGTAGCATTAATGATTCTACTATGTTTACGTTCTGGGTGTAGTATTAATGATTCTACTATGTTTACGTTCTGGGTGTAGCATTAACGATTCTACTATGTTTACGTTCTGGGTGTAGCTACTATGTTTACGTTCTGGGTGTAGCATTAATGATTCTACTATGTTTACGTTCTGGGTGTAGCATTAATGATTCTACTATGTTTACGTTCTGGGTGTAGCATTAATGATTCTACTATGTTTACGTTCTGGGTGTAGTATTAATGATGTAACAATTCTATTACAAACTTCATGCTCATTGATTGGTATAAGTTAGAGAAACTAAATGTTACAATTATATATACAGAGTATCAATCCCTGCACAGATTCAGTTTTTAATTAAGAGTCAGATATATAAACATTACAATTTACACATTTTCTTCTTGCTGAGGTTTTCTGCTGGAAGAAAGGAGTTTTCTGAATTCCTAGGTTTTAGTATTGTCACCCTTTTCTCAGTATTAATCACCTCTTTTCTGTAAATTAAGTGTCCACTTTTCTCTATGTATTGTCACCCTTTTCTCTGTGTATTGCACACTTTTCTCTATGTACTGTCACACTTTTCTCTATGTATTGTCACACTTTTCTCTATGCGTTGTCACCCTTTTCTCTATGTATTGTCACCCTTTTTTCTATTTATTGTCACCCTTTTCTCTATGTATTGTCACCCTTTTCTCTATGTATTCTCACCCTTTTCTATGCATTGTCACCACTTTTCTCTATGTATGTCACCCTTTTCTCTATGTATTGTCACCCTTTTCTTTTCTCTATGTATTGTCACCCTTTTCTCTATGTATTGTCACCCTTTTCTCTATGTATGTCACCCTTTTCTCTACACCCTTTTCTGTATGTATTGTCACCCTTTTCTCAATGTATTGTCACCCTTTTCTCTATCTACTGTCACCCTTATCTTTATGTATTGTCACCCTTTTCTCTATGTATTGTCACCCTTTTCTCTATGTATTGTCACCCTTTTCTCTATGTATTGTCACCCTTTTCTCATGTATTGTCACCCTTTTCTCTATGTATTGTCACACTTTTCTCTATGTATTGTCACCCTTTTCTCTATGTATTGTCACCCTTTTCTCTATGTATTGTCACCCTTTTCTCTATGTATTGTCACCCTTTTCTCTATCTACTGTCACCCTTTTCTCTATGTATTGTCACCCTTTTCTCATGTATTGTCACCCTTTTCTCTATCTACTGTCACTCTTTTCTCTATGTATTGTCACCCTTTTCTCTATGTATTGTCACCCTTTTCTCTATTTATTGTCACCCTTTTCTCTATGCATTGTCATCCTTTTCTCTATGCATTGTCACCCTTTTCTCTACACCTTTTCTCTATGTATTGTATTGTCACCCTTTTCTTGTCATGTTTTTTTTCTCTATGTATTGTCACCCTTTTCTCTATGTATTGTCACCCTTTTCTCTATGTATTGTCACCCTTTTCTCTATGTATTGTCACCCTTTTCTCTATGTATTGTCACCCTTTTCTCTATGCATTGTCACCCTTTTCTCTATGTATTGTCACCCTTTTCTCTTTGCATTTTCATCCTTTTCTCTATGTATTGTCACCCTTTTCTCTATGTATTGTCACCCTTTTCTCTATGTATTGTCACCCTTTTCTCTATGTATTGTCACCCTTTTCTCATGTATGTATTGTCACCCTTTTCTCTATGTATTGTCACCCTTTTCTCTATGTATTGTCACCCTTTTCTGTATGTATTGTCACCCTTTTCTCTATGTATTGTCACCCTTTTCTCTATGTATTGTCACCCTTTTCTCATGTATTGTCATCCTTTTCTCTATGCACTGTCACCCTTTTCTCTATGCATTGTCACCCTTTTCTCTATGCATTGTCATCCTTTTCTCTATGCATTGTCACCCTTTTCTCTATGTATTCTCACCCTTTTCTCTATGTATTGTCACACTTTTCTCTATGTATTGTCACCCTTTTCTCTATGTATTGTCACCCTTTTCTCTATGTATTGTCACACTTTTCTCTATGTATTGTCACCCTTTTCTCTATGTATTGTCACCCTTTTCTCTATGTATTATCACCCTTTTCTCATGTATTCTCACCCTTTTCTCTTTGTATTGTCACCCTTTTCTCTATGCATTTTCACCCTTTTCTCTATGTATTATCACCCTTTTCTCTATGTATTTTCACTCTTTTCTCTATGTAATGTCACCCTTTTCTCTATGTACTGTCACACTTTTCTCTAAGTATTGTCACACTTTTCTCTATGTACTGTCACCCTTTTCTCTATGTATTGTCACCCTTTTCTCTATGTACTGTCACCCTTTTCTCTATGTACTGTCACCCCTTTTCTCTATGCATTTTCACCCTTTTCTCTATGTATTTTCACCCTTTTCCTCTATGTACTGTCACCCTTTTCTCTATGCATTTTCACCCTTTTCTCTATGTATTATCACCCTTTTCTCTATGTATTGTCACCCTTTTCTCTATGTATTGTCACCCTTTTCTCTATGCATTGTCACCCTTTTCTCTATGTATTGTCACCCTTTTCTCTATGTATTGTCACCCTTTTCTCTATGTATTGTCACCCTTTTCTCTATGTATTGTCACCCTTTTCTCTATGTATTGTCACCCTTTTCTCTATCTACTGTCACCCTTTTCTCATGTGTATTGTCACCCTTTTCTCTATGTATTGTCACCTTTTTCTCTATGTATTGTCACCCTTTTCTTTATGTATTGTCACCCTTTTCTCTATGTATTTTCTCTATGTCACCTCTTTACTCTTTTCTCTATGTATGTAATGTCACCCTTTTCTCTATGTACTGTCACACTTTTCTCTAAGTATTGTCACACTTTTCTCTATGTACTGTCACCCTTTTCTCTATGTATTGTCACACTTTTTTCTATGTATTGCACACTTTTCTCTATGTATTGTCACCCTTTTCTCTGTGTATTGCACACTTTTCTCTATGTACTGTCACACTTTTCTCTATGCATTGTCACCCTTTCCTCTGTGCACTGTCACCCTTTTCTGTATGTATTGTCACCCTTTTCTCAATGTATTGTCACCCTTTTCTCTATCTACTGTCACCCTTTTCTCTATGTATTGTCACCCTTTTCTCTATGTATTGTCACCCTTTTCTCTATGTATTCTCACCCTTTTCTCTATGTATTGTCACTCTTTTCTCTATGTATTGTCACCCTTTTCTCTATGTATTGTCACCCTTTTCTCTATGTATTGTCACCCTTTTCTCTATGTATTGTCACCCTTTTCTCTATGTATTGTCACCCTTTTCTCTATGCACTGTCACACTTTTCTCTATGTATTGTCACACTTTTCTCTATGTATTGTCACCCTTTTCTCTATCTACTGTCGCCCTTTTCTCTATGTATTTTCACCCTTGTCCTCTATGTACTGTCACCTTTTTCTCTATGTACTGTCACCCTTTTCTCTATGTATTGTCACCCTTTTCTCTATGCATTTTCACCCTTTTCTCTATGTATTATCACCCTTTTCTCTATGTATTGTCTCCCTTTTCTCTATGTATTGTCGCCCTTTTCTCTATGCAATGTCACCCTTTTCTCTATGTATTGTCACCCTTTTCTCTATGTAATGTCACCCTTTTCTCTATGTATTTTCTATGTATTGTCACCTTTTCTTGTCATTGTACTGTCACTTTTTCTCTTGTATGTACTGTCACCTTTTTTTTTGCCACTTTTTCCTGTATGGACTGGCTCCTGTTTCTCATATTACATTCTTTTCATTCTTTTTATTGTCACCCTTTTCCATTTGTTCATCAAATTTTAGCCAACAACTAATCATAAATGACTAACAAGAGGGGTAATCAATTTTTTACGAATGATGGGTCTTGGTTCCTTGGTAATTGAGCATATTCTTTAAAATCCTTCTCCTCTTGTAGGACTGATTGAATTTTGCCCAAGTTTGGTCCGAAGCATTTTTGGTGAAAGGGAATTAATGTTATATAAATGGCAGATTTTGCCCAAATCTAGTCTGAATCATTGTTGGGTGAAGGAAAATCAATTTTTTTTAATGAATAGTGGGTCTCGGACCCCTTGGGCAGGAAAGATGGGCCAAATGGGGTAATAGAGCAAATCATTTAAAATTCTTCTTCTCCAGTAGGAATGAATGGTATTTCCCAAATTTGGTCTAAAAGTATTCTTGGGTGAAGCAGAATCAGTTCTGCAAAAAAGTGGATTCTGGCTCCCTTGAGTGAGAGGGGCAGTGCCACATTGGGGAAACAGAGCAATTCATTAAAAGCCTCCTTCATTATGATTATGCTCAAATATGGTCAAAAGTATTCTTGGGTGAAAGGGAACAAAGTTAGGGTAAGGATTGGCTTTCAATTCCCAGGAGGCCTGAGGGGTGGAGCCCAAAAGAGAAAATTTTTCAAGTTCTTTGTAATCCTACTCCTCCTATAATGATGTTGTTTTTATTTGGTCTAAAGTTTTCTTGGGTCTTTATACAGTGCATTCCTGCCCTCTAGGATAGGAGAAATGGGCCCAATTGGGGAAGTTAAGCTCTTAAAAGTCCTTTCATACAAGGATATTGTCAAAGTTTGGTCTGTAGCACTTTATTTATAGTGAATCTGACCTCTGTTTGACCACAAGGGCAGGGTCCAATAGGGATGTTATATTCAAAATTGTTTTTCATATTTCAAATTCCTTATTAAATGGCTGAATAGCTAAATTAGTCAGATGAGTGATGCAGGCCCCTTGGGCCTTATGTTTCTCTTATAAGAGACCTTCAGGTCACTCATGACTATGTGTTCCTTTTAAAGAGGAACTACAAAGTACTGCATGTCAGATTCAGTAAGGTTTCAAGTCAAATGCTATGTTACCAAGGGTAGCTTCTGTTCTAATTAGCCTCTCATGACCATGTGGCGCATAGGTTGCTTAGGTGGGAGGGACACAAGGAATCGCAATTTCAGTCAAAGGTCATGTTACAATCCTTTACAAAAAAAGAAAAGCATGTTCACATTTGATACACACATTGCTTGCTTGGAAAAGAAATAAGTGTAATAAGAAAATAACACACTTTGGATCCCCTGACCTGCAATAGCTTCTGTTCCTACTACCTGATACTTACCATATTTGGTATACTGATTGCTTCCTGATAACTACCATATTTGGTATACTGATTGCTTCCTGATAATTACCATATTTGGTATACTGATTGCTTCCTGATAACTACCATATTTGGTATACTGATTGCTTCCTGATATTTACCATATTTGGTATACTGATTGCTTCCTGATAACTACCATATTTGGTATACTGATTGCTTCCTGATAATTACCATATTTGGTATACTGATTACTTCCTGATAACTACCATATTTGGTATACTGATTGCTTCCTGATAATTACCATATTTGGTATACTGATTGCTTCCTGATAATTACCATATTTGGTATACTGATTGCTTCCTGATGACTACCATATTTGGTATACTGATTGCTTCCTGATAATTACCATATTTGGTATACTGATTGATTGTGGGTAACCTTTGATTGCGTTTTGTTTCTACAGGTCAAAGTTCATGTCAGTTGTTGCTAGATAAGATTATTTTATGTTGTAGATTTTCTCTTGAGGACTAGTTGTGCCATTCAAATAAACCTTTGTATAGATATTGGGCTGCAGATACTTCATGTAGAACATATAGGACACCATCCAATATAACATCCTTACCAACCTAACCTAGGCTTCTGATTGGCCTTAAATTGAACAGTACCCAATTTGGATTAGATAGTATCTAGCTGATTTATAACACTGAAAGCTCCACTGCATGAAATTTGTTGTCAACACACAGAGATATTGTTTTGTTTAAATTCCTGCCTTTGGCTCTCACTGTCATGGTCATTCATTTGTTCATGTTGTCAAACCAAGACTTTAGAAGGAGTTCTTGTAATAGATTCACCATACCTTGTATCTATGTACTAACATTTGATGACACAGATCATTGTTTACTAAAATACAGAATTTACTGTGACATTGTCATTGTGATTACCTCCTTATATTTATTGATGAAATTTATATCAACACGTGGCCAAGTTGTTGGTAGTATGATTAGCTCAGTTGTTGAGAAAGCTTTCTGTTTGAAATTTATAAATCATTTCCATGAAATGATCTCTGACGTACAACAGGTATATGTATTCCTTACCTTATAACTAATATGTCAACAAGTGATTTAGGCTGAAACAACAAGGCCATATCAAGATGGATTTTATTAGTTACTGACAAGCTTTGTTCATAATCACAAACTTATTTTGATAAATTTCTATTCAGGTATATTTGTTGATCATTATTATTAATCAATCTGATTTAAATGATGATTCATTTATAGTTAATATCAGTAAATGGATTTCAAAGTAATGTAGAATACAGTGCTAAAATACAATTATTACAATGATATAACATAAGATACAGACAGTGATTATATCAGATGTGTATGTTTTATAGTATATTATAACATCTATACAGTTATACTGATTACATCTATACAATTATACTGATTACATCTATACAATTATACTGATTACATCTATACAATTATACTGATTACATCTATACAATTATACTGATTACATCTATACAATTATACTAATTACATCTATACAATTATACTGATTACATCTATACAATTATACTAATTACATCTATACAATTATACTGATTACATCTATACAATTATACTAATTACATCTATACAATTATACTAATTACATCTATACATTTATACTGATTACATCTATACAATTATACTGATTACATCTATACAGTTATACTGATTACATCTATACAATTATACTGATTACATCTATACAATTATACTAATTACATCTATACAATTATACTGATTACATCTATACAATTTTCCATATAAGGTCATTTACAAAAAGATTGAAGAACTTGACCTTAACATGACTTGTCAAGGCAAGTATGGTGGCTCCCTTCAACGTCTGGAAAAGACAGAGTCTTCTACTGCAAGAAAAAAAAGGTTCCAATTGGAGCAGGAGGAAGACAAATTAAGATCTAGTCTCGAGAAGTCTTTCCTGGCATACAAGGAATTGATCTCCGAGGAAATCCAAAGTCGACGTAATTTCCTACAGGTAAACATTCTGGCTTTACATTGTCCTACTATGGCCAATCCTCATACTGAAACATGGCCCAGATGTGAGGACTTTCATTTACGTAAAGATATATTACAACTGGCTGATTTTACATTTACAAGCTACCCTTGAGGCCGGTGAAATCCATTGTAAAGTAAAATCTGCCAATTTCATGACATTTTCCATAATGATCACATGATCTGACTGACTTAATGCTGTCATGTGTTACATTGATTCAGTACAAGTAAATCAGGTTTCTGATACAGGGCAATAATATTCTTTATTTCCTTATTTCAGACCATGAGTACCATCCGTGAACAGTGCAGTACCCTGGAGAGTAGGCGGCTGAATACTGTTGCTAAGGCATACAATAGATATATCTCTATTTTGGAAGAGTCAGAACCACTCAAGTAAGTGATAAAAAAACCAGGTCAAACACAGGTGGAATATAATTGGATGGAATCACAATTTTTCAAATAAATGTTCATTGATCTTTTTATAACCAAGACCATGTACATATCTTATAGTAGTTGTAGTAAACTTTGATGACGATGGTGGTTAATATCTATAGCTATAGTGACAGGATTTGTTTTAAAAGTCCACTTTTGGATTCCAACTTAGACAAGATACATTACAAACTGTTCAAAAAAGAATCGACGTATAAATACGGTGTAAATACGGTGTAAATACAGTATAAATACGGTATAAACAATGAAGTAAGACTTTATTTATGATATATGCAAATGCACTTTCTTTTTCAAAAATAAAAAAACAATTTAAAAAAACAAAAGCAAAAAAAGAAAAATTGTTTTGTAGCAAATCTGTAGTTGATACTGGTAATTACAGAAGGTAAAGCAATTTCATTATATTTCTTAAGATTTTTCCCAAACAGTATTTGAAATGTAAATACATTTTTTTATCACATTTTAAAATCTAAAGACTACTTTCAATCGTCTGTTATTTGCCTAGTTCTAAGAGGAGAGTTATCATGAATGAGATGAAAGCTATGGCATCAGAAATGGCCGATGGCCAAATAAGCCAGTTCAAGCAGTGGACAAGGGAGAAAACAAGATACTACATCTTCGAGTTGGTCACAGTAAGTGACAATTGGTCACAGTTAAGCATTTTACATTGATAAAAAAGAGAAAGCAGAATTTTTTGTTTTTGTTTGATAAATTATCTGTTTCTTATTTTAATTATCAAATTGTAATTGTTTATTGTAATACTAAAGTTAAAGGAGACAAAATCTCATGTTGTGATCATCTGCTGCAGGACAACTGGACTCCGTATGGGTTAGGCATAGTAACCAACAATGTGCCAGATATAGTCATTCCAGCCAACCTCCAAGTGTTGTCAGAGTCAGACAAAACAGGTACCTGTATGGTCACACTGTTAATTGCAATGTGACCGTATCACTGATTAATCCTTGTTGTTGAACACTCCTGTTTCCTCCAGCGATCATATACGGCATTCTTTAAAACTGAAGGAAATTTTGTCAGGAAGCAAGCACTTTGTGACATCACACACTCTAACACATATTAAGAGTAGCGGTATTCAAGTTGATGAGAATGGATATCTATAAAGATACTTCTACCTTGTCCTGATTTCTACAGATGAGTTCCCTAAAACAAAATCTTTGAGTAATTAATAAATTACAAGAGGTGATGGTATAGTTGATTAATTGATCCTGATATTACTGCCACAAAAAAGTTCGATACCGATAGTTAATTTTCTGTGATTTTGTAGGTTATCTTAATCCACGGATTCATATGTCCACGAACTGTTAGAATTAGTATAGGTAGCTTTATGGAACTTTATTTGTCCCCGAAATTAAGTGTCCACAAAATAGTGTTTCAAACAAATAAAATGCAGGAAAATTGAACTTTACACAACATTACTCTACAGTAAATCACTAGTTAGGTTGATTTGAACACTGAGATTTAACACTGAAATGAAGATGGACAGTAAGAAAATATTCCACATCCCATACTATTTGAAATTTTGACAGTTTTCCACGATGTGGCAAAATAGAGTAGAAGAGCATATATGGAAGGTGTATTTTAAGGGCCATAGTGTAGTTTTTTTACCTCCAGGGAGGAAGAGTTCACAAAGAAGTCAATGAGAGGTGCTTGAGAAAAATAATAGTAATTCAGATCAATAAGTCTTATTGTCTCAAAACTATGTTTCATAATTACATGTAGACAACATGTACTTTTCAATGTGCTTTTCCCCTGAAGATTCGAGTCTTGAGGAACAATCTGGAAAACCTCACGAGGCCGATCCAACCATCCCTGTGGCATATAATCCTTGTGATGATTTTCGCCACATAGAGATCTCGGATCAATCCACTCGGACAAACAAACATGGATTTGAGCAACAAGAAAATCAACAGTAAGTTATACCTTAACAATGCTAGATCTTTGTTGTACTGCACTGATTCCCTGCATCTGATTATCTAACAAATTTAAATAATGTTAGAAACTGTAGTGTTTTGTGAAAGAGTTTTAATAATGGTTTCCATTTAGAACTCCTTATTTTACCACACTAATTCTGTAATGGTGTTGTACATTAAAGACACTGCAAAAGACGACCATTTCGTTTTTAAACAGCATCTGAATCATGATCAGAGAAATAGCGGTGTTAGTTGTGTATATTATGAACTGATTGACTCATGATCAGAGAAATAGCGGTGTTAGCTGTGTATATTATGAACTGATTGGCTCATTATCAGAGAAATAGCGGTGTTAGCTGTGTATGTTATGAACAGATTGACTCATGATCAGAGAAATAGCGGTGTTAGCTGTGTATATCATGAACTGATTGAATCATGATCAGAGAAATAGCGGTGTTAGCTGTGTATATTATGAACTGATTGGCTCATTATCAGAGAAATAGCGGTGTTAGTTGTGTATATTATGAACAGATTGACTCATTATCAGAGAAATAGCGGTGTTAGCTGTGTATATCATGAACTGATTGAATCATGATCAGAGAAATAGCGGTGTTAGCTGTGTATGTTATGAACTGATTGGCTCATTATCAGAGAAATAGCGGTGTTAGCTGTGTATATCATGAACTGATTGAATCATGATCAGAGAAATAGCGGTGTTAGCTGTGTATGTTATGAACAGATTGACTCATGATCAGAGAAATAGCGGTGTTAGCTGTGTATATCATGAACTGATTGAGTCATGATCAGAGAAATAGCGGTGTTAGCTGTGTATGTTATGAACAGATTGACTCATGATCAGAGAAATAGCGGTGTTAGCTGTGTATATCATGAACTGATTGACTCCTGATCAGAGAAATAGCGGTGTTAGCTGTGTATGTTATGAACAGATTGACTCATGATCAGAGAAATAGCGGTGTTAGCTGTGTATATCATGAACTGATTGAATCATGATCAGAGAAATAGCGGTGTTAGCTGTGTATATTATGAACTGATTGAATCATGATCAGAGAAATAGCGGTGTTAGCTGTGTATATCATGAACTGATTGAATCATGATCAGAGAAATAGCGATGTTAGTTGTGTATATTATGAACAGATTGACTCATGATCAGAGAAATAGCGGTGTTAGCTGTGTATATTATGAACAGATTGACTCATGATCAGAGAAATAGCGGTGTTAGCTGTGTATATTATGAACTGATTGACTCATGATCAGAGAAATAGCGGTGTTAGCTGTGTATATTATGAACTGATTGAGTCATGATCAGAGAAATAGCGGTGTTAGCTGTGTATATTATGAACTGATTGAGTCATGATCAGAGAAATAGCGGTGTTAGCTGTGTATGTTATGAACTGATTGAGTCATGATCAGAGAAATAGCGGTGTTAGCTGTGTATGTTATGAACTGATTGACTCATGATCAGAGAAATAGCGGTGTTAGCTGTGTATATTATGAACTGATTGACTCATGATCAGAGAAATAGCGGTGTTAGCTGTGTATATTATGAACTGATTGAGTCATGATCAGAGAAATAGCGGTGTTAGCTGTGTATATCATGAACTGATTGAATCATGATCAGAGAAATAGCGGTGTTAGCTGTGTATATTATGAACTGATTGACTCATGATCAGAGAAATAGCGGTGTTAGCTGTGTATATTATGAACTGATTGAGTCATGATCAGAGAAATAGCGGTGTTAGCTGTGTATATCATGAACTGATTGAATCATGATCAGAGAAATAGCGGTGTTAGCTGTGTATATTATGAACTGATTGACTCATGATCAGAGAAATAGCGGTGTTAACTGTGTATATTATGAACTGATTGGCTCCTTCTCTGTGGATGTATCCTGTTCTTCCTTCCATGCCAGTTTATGTAGACACTGCAATGATAAATGACCAAGGTTAAGTTTTGCTCCTATTTTGACAGTTATGTATCATGTAATTTGTTTGTTTAGGAAAAGTCTATCCCATCATTTGATGGAGGGTAAAGAGTCTGCTGGTCCCGGCTGGGGTCAAGGAGCCATACCCAAGACTTATCAAGGATCAATGGCCAGAAGCCCAATACGCTCTCCTGATGGCAATGAAGACACACCAGTAATGGTTCATCCAACCAATCGAAGAGTGGTGAAACCCAACCCTACAATGAGAAACCCACCAAACCCACCACCCAAATCATCAACGGATGGTTGGCGTGCCACACAAACCCCGATAGGGAGCTTAACACTGCCAACTAAAGGTAATGACCAAGCAAAGAAGAGAGGAGAACTGCATTCCAACACAGACACTCGGCCATCTCCAGTGGATGAAACTGAAACAGCATCTAAGGAGAAGCAGGATGGCACCGAGTCGCACCTCTCACGCAAGTATCAGTCCAAGAAAGATACACCACAAGTTGTATCTAAAGAGGCAGCAAATCAGCCACAGTGGCATACAATCACTGGCAAGGATGATCCTTACTATACTCCTGGGGACCCCTCCGATCTGGAAGTAATGGTTCTGCCAGAGGGAGATACACAGAGGCCAGAGGTATGTTTAGTATGTTACCATATCTAGTGTCACTTCCGTCATGCCAAACTTTTTATATCAAGTTAATGACATCAATTAAGTTCATAATTAAATTGCAAATAATGTCACAGCTGAGTTAAACCTCACCTTCTTTATTTTGATTGTTGCTTAGAGAACAATAATGGTAAGCACATTTACAGGTTTTGTTTTCAAATTTCAAAAAGAAATATACAAGACAATTCAACAGATTTGACTTGCATTGCTTAGTTGGGTTTTTGATTACTGAGGATACTTTTATTGAAGTACACATCTATATGATAGAGAATTAAATCAAAAGTTTTAGTTCACCTGGCCAAAAGGGGAGTTAATTTTGTTTAAATTATATTTGTCTCGGCCACCTGAGGAGGGGTACAATAGAGAAATATAGCAAATTGCATAATTTAAAATCCTACTCCTCCTGTAGGAATGATTGGATTGAACTCAAATTTGGTTTAAAGCATCCTCGGGGGAATGTAAATTAGTTTTGTGTAAACAGTAGGTCACAGCCCCCCTGGGCTGGGAAGGGTGGGGCCCAGTAGTGGAAATAGTGCAAATACTATAAGATCTTACTTCCCTTGTAGGTTTTATTGGACCTTGTCCAAATTTGGTCTGAGGCATCCTAGTAAGAGGGTAATTCAATTTCTTATAAATGTTGGATCTGGGCCAGTGGAATGGGAGGTGCAGGACCAATTGGGAGAAATAGAGAATTTATGTAAAGCTTACTCCTGTAGGAATAGTTGGATTTTGCCTGAAGCATTCTTTGGTGAAAAGGAATCACTTTTGTGTAAATGGGTGGGGGGTGGGGGTCTCTGCCAAACGAGACAGACAGGGCAGGCTCCATTATGGGGAAGAACAGCAGGATTCTGTCTCGATTTAGTCTGAAGCATGAATAGTTTGGCTGACCCCCTGGGGACACAGGGTTAGAGCCCTCTGGGAAAGTAGATATGGTGTTTCTTGTTCCTAGATATTTATATTTCCTTTTCCCTTACCTATGGGCCTCTTGTTTGTGGGACATGTTACTTACAATTTCCAAAAACGTCTATAGGTACAGGAAAAGTTTGGTTCTTCTCTAATCATCACAGAGTATTGTATGTAATTGGTTATAGTAGACAAATGTGTGCATTTAGTTTAAAAATGAAGGCAAATTCTTTATGTCTTATTCTCCAGAAAGTCGAAAATGTAAAGCATACTTTCTGTTCCATTGGTCCTAGGTAGCACTGACAGTCTTGTTAATAGAATGTCAGGAATATGTGTTGGCTTGACATGACTTGTTTGAGAGAATCGGACTTAACACTCTATCTTTCTAGCAAGAAAATCTTGGTCCTTCTTGTCCTAATTGAGTGGCTGTGGTATATGTCCATCCCTATAATGTAAACACATATTTGGAACCCTATTGTTTATGTAGATCCTTGAAATCTTTTCTGTTTTAGCGTCCGTTTCAGCCAATGATCAACAACTGGATGGATCCTGATATGCAGCCACTGGAGCCAAACTCTTCAGACCATAACCTGTTGTCACAATTCCTGAACAAAACCAAATCTAAATTCAGGCGATCCAAAAAGGCTAAAAAGTCAACTAGCCCAGATATCATTGACTCAGGTCCCGTTCCCTTTGATTTTGGATGTGAAGATGTGGATGAAGTTTCCACAGTTATCGACCCTGCATACAAGAGAACCACCAAAGGAGGGCCAGCAAAAACACCTTCTTTACCAGGAAGTGTTCAGCCATCGGAGAAATCAAAACCAGTCGCATCAAGTGGCTCTGACTCCAGCGATAACGGTGCGTACATCTTTTTTTGTTTTTTTTTAAATATAAATATAGATTGACATATGTTTTGCTAACAAATATCACTACCCACACATCAGTGAAACTGGGTTTGTTGAATTCTATGCATCTATGTTATTATAGAAACAAGAGGCCATAGGGCCTTAACAGTCACCTAAGTCACAATGCTTCTTATCATAGAAATGTTAACTACATTGTACACATAATGCAAATGTAAAGTGTACATAACATCAACTACTCTTCCATGCTAAGGCTTCTTACCAAGTTTGAGTTAATAGAAATTACACTCAAAAATTGAACTTTCCTTTATAAAATCTTCCACCCAGAAGCAGTAGAACATCTTTGAAATTTTAGTCAATTTGACCCATTTTTTAACCCTATCAAGAGCCCTTGGGAGCTAGCCGGGGTCAATTTGTGCATCTCATCAAACTTTCAGAGTAAACTTATAATTCTAACCATGTCTGAACTATTTCCAATAGAAAATAAACAGTTTTTAAAAATTGTAATTTTCCTATACAAACTACAGTAAACTGTACCCCCTCCCCAGGGAAATGTGAGACCGTAGGGTCATGAAATTTACAATTTTGGTAAAGCATCTGAAGGCCTTTCCACCCATGAAGAGTCTTTGATTCTTCCCAACCTGGGATCTAAGAAGATTTTTGAAGTTTTTGACCCTGCCTCTCAGACCCCAATGGGTCAGGGACTACATGATTTACAACTTTGGTGTGCCTTTGGCCATGGAAGGTTTTTGTAAAATTTCATTGAAATTGATTCAGGAGTTTTCCAGAATTCGAAAATGTTAAAAGTTTACGACACATGACACGAGACAAAAGGGGATCACTTTGTCTCAGGGTGACCTAAAAAGCATCTCATCCAAAATAAATTCCTTCTACGTTTATGTTAAAGATATCTCAAGTAACACACACCAGTCTGTAAGGTTTTAAAACCACCGAGATTAAAGCTGAAGATATGAAAATCTCTTAGATACAAAGTACCTTCAGTGATGTCATCAGTCCAGTGTTTTACAAGTATCCAAATCATTGTGATCATATATATGTATGTATTGAGAACCATGTTATAATTCTGATGCTGTTTACAATTTGATTGTTTCATATATTGTATATGTTAAAGGCACTTACCTACCCAGAAGACTTGGTAATATGTTGTTATATTGTAAAAGGTTCTTTGTCTTTACCAGTGTCTGTCATTTAGTAAATACGTAAACTAATTTAAGAAAATATCTTCTCCCCTGAGTTCAGTAACTGTTACAGTGTTTCAGCCTGTGTTTCCTAAAAATTGTCACATAACATGTACTGTTTTTTGGATACATTTAAATAAGAATGTTTCTTAACATCAGGGAGAACAATTTGAAGCACGCTTTTATTGTTATTAACATAGATGTTATCGGTTTTAAAGTGTTACCATAGAGCACCACCACTGACATGGATGTATGTATAACAAGAAAATTGTTGTATTATGTGATTTTTCACTAACAAGATAATCAATTAAGTATTTTATGCAGGGGTTAAGGAATATACTGGACACAAGAAGAGTTTCCATTTTGAACAGAGAACTACCACTTGCTTTAACCCATCTTATACCATGTTGGTGTACATCACGAATACATAAGTGACATCTATAAGACATCGGTGATAAGTGTACAAATGAGATTTATTTTGATAATTTATTGTGACACCATTTAAGATGGCCTTTCATACAGTCTGACTGGATACTTTAATCCTCATCACCAGTTCTAATGGTAACTGATGTCAGCATCTGAATCTGAGCTGGCTATATCCTTATAATTGAGGAGTTTCCTCGGAGAGAAGAAATTAAAATCTTGATTGTTACTTGATGACATCAGCATCATTTGTCTGAAGTTACAAAAAGTTCCTACAGAAGTATAAGTACTACAGTAGCATTGGGTAAACAGTTCAATCAAAGAATACTTGTTGCTGATAACAACCAGATAAACTCAACAATAATCATTACTGTTAACCTTTCAGTAACTTCAGGTAATTCTAGTTAATTGGGATCTAAGGGTATTCAGTTTTTTTGTCTTGTTCAAGTTTCCAACTTGTGTTGCTGAAGTGATGTAAAATGAGTAAAAAACTTTCAAAAATTGATTTTATTTTATTTCAATATTTGTTAATGATTCACATCCACAAAGGAAAGATGTTGACTGAGAAATGACTTTGTATCTTCAGAAAATCGCGAAGCAGTCTCCAGGCGTCCTTCTGTAAAAACCATCAAGATGTGCAGCATCGATTTCTATGAGGCAAAGCATGATGATGAAATCAGCTTCTTGTCAGGTAAATAAGTCAGTGTAGTTTATGTGGGAGTGGTTTTTATAAACTAATAAATACAATTTTAGAAACACTATAGCCAAAAGGAGACAACACATCATAACAAATTGTTGAGAAAAGATATGAACTTTTAAATTCTTTTTCGAAAACAAAAAAATTGATACCAATGCACTGTAATAATGTATGGTAGATCTGGTTGTCTTGATGAGAACTTTAAGCATTGTGGATTCCTTGTGCTGACATCATGTGGAACTACCATGTCTTATGTTGGATGTTTTCCATTTTCTGGTTTGTTCTCCTTGTAGAATGGGCGTAAGAATTGTGCTGCTCATGTCAGTTGCTTGATCATAAGAGGTGACAGAACTTTTTATCAATATGTCTTCTTCCTGAACATTTTTGCTTCCCAAAGATTCCTGTCTCACTGCCTGAATTTTTGCCTCTACATTTAGTTTTTCCTCCTATTACAAGTGATAGGAGTTATTTATCTTACCACCTCATACATAAATCATTGTAACAGGTATACTTACTGCTCTCTCGTTAATTCTCTACATTGGATATAAAGTATAGGAAGCTATAATTCTCAGCACTAAGTTTGGTGTTTGTGGTAACATAACTGTCACATCATCTTCATATGTTCTTTGCTGTTCCAGGGACGTAAGTAAATTCTGGTTTTAGTATGATGGACTGTGAGGTATGTCATGCTTATGTGCTTGCAGGACATTTAAGTTAAATGGCACTATACATTGTTATCAATGTTGGCCAGGTATAAATGTAGGCACCATCTTCGTATGATCTATATGTATCAATGGGATGTTGATTGTGAGTATTCATTCAAATGTAGATGATTATTGATCCAGTTTCTTCACCAAATTACAACAAAGTCCATGAAATTGGTACTTGCCACCTTCTACTTGTTGGTGATTAGGTAAGGTAATATGAATGACTGGTTTAGTTTTGGATCAGTTGATGTGATCTGGGAGGTAATCAGTTGTACTATCATGTTTACGTTATGATATTTCAGCATGATAACACTTTAAATTTTTTTGAAGGGGCCATCATCCAAACAAGGTGTCCACTATATGATATTTTCATCAAAACAAAATGTTTATGTTTCAAATGGATAACAAATATTTGTTTCTACTTTAGGCCAGACGGTGAAAATGATTCACCCTGCCAATTCTGAGGGAATGGCATACGGCTATACACGATCTAGCCGTTTGAAGAAGCGTCAATATGGCTACTTTCCTATCAACCATGTTGTTCGTGTTTTAGAAGATAAGCACAGAACCCTGAGGAGGAAAGTCAGTGGATTTTTCAAGAAGCGCTGAATTAAACAACCAGTGCTTAAAAAAAATGAAAATGGATTAGAATGCCGTATTCTGCCTAATAAGCAAAACTGTCTTCATAACTCCATCTCACTTTTTTGGGATAGTGCATAGCTGCACTTCTTACTTTTTAAACTCTGAAATGCCTTTCATCAATGTTTCTGAATTGTCCATCATCTTTTTCTGTCTGTCTACTTATTCAATCTTTAGCCTTTTGTTAAATTGTATAGTATTTTCTGTCAAACATACTAACATGTTTTGCAAGCCCACAGTGGGCCTATTAGGTGAAATATGGTACATGTAACAAGTGTGATACAGTTTACTTGGCATCCATTAACCCAAAACAGATTGTCAAGATTTTTCTGTATTCAAATATTTTCGCTTGTTTCACAGTAGGAGATATTTAAGTAAGCAAGACAACGTTTTTTAAGGATCTACCAAAAATATTGCACAATGTACAAAAAAGTAATCTTGATTACAAAAAAAAAAATATGGAACCCATGATTGTTTTCTGATTAACAACTTATCAGAAAAGGAAGGAGTATTGTGATAGCTAGGCTGTTGTAGATGTTATGTAGGACCAAATAGCACAACACCTGTGTTTATAGTTCCTTGGTTACTGCAACTTAAACATCACTACAGAGTAAAGGAGAAAAACTCTTGTAAAATTACAACAGCATTGTAAAACATTAAATTACCAAAAAGATAAGATACCTAGAGCTTTAAGTGGTGCCCCTTGTTGCAATGTCTTCCATCAACCCAGAATGACTTGCATACCACCATAAGTATAGATAATGTCCAGTGCTAGATGTATAACAACAGCATGTTATCAATATCACTGGTGGTGAAAGCAGACCAAGGGGCTGCCTGTAGCTGTTTTAAATTAAAGAATACCATGAAAATGTTTAGTTCACACATCAATAATGATCAGCCCTACCCAGAAAATTTGAATAATTGAGAACATCTTTTTAAATCCTTGCTCACTTTGTATTTATCTAATATTCATCATTGAAATAAGGAGAAAAATACCAGGAAAAATAACAAAAATATTGTAAAAAACATAATTTACAAAAATAAACCATGGCTATAAGTGCTGCCATACAACAATTTATTTCAACAACCAAAAATGGATCATATACCACCACATGTTAGAATGATAGCACAACAGTTCTCCACCATGTTGTCATAGCAACAGCTTGTATTTAAATTCTTCATCACTTTCACTTGTGGCTGAAGCTGGCCCACCTGTGGCTTATAAGAAATTAGAATGGTCACACCACACCATGTAATTTGGTTATTTGAAAGATCACACAACACCATGTACTTTGGTAATTTGAAAGATCACACCACACCATGTACTTTGGTAATTTGAAAGATCACACCACACCATGTACTTTGGTAATTTGAAAGATCACACCACACCATGTACTTTGGTTATTTGAAAGATCACACAACACCATGTACATTGGTAATTCAAAAGGGAAGTTTGTCCCTGTCCACAACACCATGTACTTTGGTAATTTGAAAGATCACATCACACCATGTACTTTGGTTATTTGAAAGATCACACAACACCATGTACTTTGGAAATTTGAAAGATCACTTCACACCATGTACTTTGGTAATTTGAAAGATCACTTCACACCATGTACTTTGGTAATTTGAAAGATCACAATACACCATGTACTTTGGTAATTCAAAAGGGAAGTATGTCCCTGTCCACAACACCATGTACTTTGGTAATTTGAAAGATCACACCACACCATGTACTTTGGTAATTTGAAAGATCACACCACACCATGTACTTTGGTAATTTGAAAGATCACACAACACCATGTACTTTGGTAATTTGAAAGATCACACCACACCATGTACTTTGGTAATTTGAAAGATCACACCACACCATGTACTTTGGTAATTTGAAAGATCACACTACACCATGTACTTTGGTAATTTGAAAGATCACACCACACCATGTACTTTGGTAATTTGAAAGATCACACCACACCATGTACTTTGGTAATTTGAAAGATCACACCACACCATGTACTTTGGTAATTTGAGAGATCACAAAACACCACACCATGTACTTTGGTAATTTGAAAGATCACACCACACCATGTACTTTGGTAATTTGAAAGATCACACCATGTACTTTGGTAATTTGAAAGATGACACCACACCATGTACTTTGGTAATTTGAAAGATCACACCACACCATCTACTTTGGTAATTTGAAAGATCACACTACACCATGTACTTTTGTAATTTGAAAGATCACACCACACCATGTACTTTGGTAATTTGAAAGATCACACCACACCATGTACTTTGGTCATTTGAAAGATCACACTACACCATGTACTTTGGTAATTTGAAAGATCACACAACACCATGTACTTTGGAAATTTGAAAGATCACACATCACCATGTACTTTGGTAATTCAAAAGGGAAGTTTGTCCCTGTCCACAACACCATGTACTTTGGTAATTTGAAAGATCACATCACACCATGTACTTTGGTCATTTGAAAGATCACACAACACCATGTACTTTGGTCATTTGAAAGATCACACAACACCATGTACTTTGGTCACACAACACCATGTACTTTGGTCATTTGAAAGATCGCACCACACCATGTACTTTGGTAATTTGAAAGCTCACACCATGTACTTTGGAAATTTGAAAGATCACACCACACCATGTACTTTGGTAATTTGAAAGATCACACAACACCATGTACTTTGGTAATTTGAAAGATCACACCACACCATGTACTTTGGTAATTTGAAAGATCACACAACACCATGTACTTTGGTAATTTGAAAGATCACACCACACCATGTACTTTGGTCATTTGAAAGGGAAGTATGTCCCTGTCCACAACACCATGTACTTTGGTAATTTGAAAGATCACACCATGTACTTTGGTCATTTGAAAGGGAAGTATGTCCCTGTCCACAACACCATGCTGTATTTTTTCAGCTCATGAATCAATAATAGATCAATAATCTATCAATAGATTGAGTTGGAAATTACAAAAATGTAATGGTGTTAATTACAGTAATAGATGTGGTATATTGTATCCCAACAACCCAAATGGATTGTATACCAAGGCAGCTTTAAAGAATAATGTCTATTTTCGGCCAGTCCTTAAAAGAATTTGCAATAACACTCTGCATTATTTTCCTGGGATAATTTATATTGTGATTTAAACAGCGGTAATGTTAAAAGGGGTCCACATCCCTGTAGAATATTGAGTGAGCACAAAGGTATTACATATAAGATGGATCAATTTCTAGGGTAGGTGCTGATCATCACCAATGTCAATTAAGTAAACGATGATTAAATTCATGAAAATCTTTAACATTGTGTAAATAAGAACTACACTTCTCTATTGTTGCTCAAACTAATCAAACTTCTAAAACTAAAAAAAAAATAGCTAAATAAAAAATCAAACACATCTGGTTACACACTTCTAGGCAGCATTTCATCAGGATTTTGTTTATTATAGTTGATGTGAAATAACTGAATATATGTCTCATTTAGTTTCTCCTTTGCCTTCCAATTTTACTTCAAGATGCTTAGATTTTACCATGTTTTTAATATTTATCAAAATAGAGTTGTTAAAACTGTTTCACATGTAGATGTAAAGAACTGTCCATTTCGTACCCATTTTGATGTTTGTCTTTCATTTATTTTTCCATATGTCCACTGATTTTACTTCAAAGTACTTCATATTTTGTTTTAATTTTTGTCTCTAATATCTATTTAATATTTTCCATGTTTTATATATCTAACTAATTTATTTCATTGATAAGTTTTAGCTCAAATTCTACCGATACATATCACTATTTTTTTTTTAATAACTGAGAGTCAGATATTGATAAGAAATTTTCCATGCTGTACACTGATGTATAATGCTATATACCTATCTCTGTTGATGTATAATAATGAATACAACCATAGTGTGTGAAGATATCTGTTTTGTCTTTTCTTTCTAATTTTTATCCAGATTTTATTTGTTTAAAGTCATGTCAAATTTTGCTGTTAAGAATATTTCTATATTGTACATATTTAGATGTTACATCTATCACTGTGTCTAATGATCGGTTTGAAAACTTGAATACATATCAGTGTTTGAAGATATCTGTTTTGAATTTTGTTTTTATTTGTTACGATGTTATACATCCTTTCCGTACTGTGCCAATAAATTAACATGTTTTCTATTTATTTGATTTGTGTTATATTTTGTTTTATGGTTAAACATTTGCTTACATCCCATGTTAAAATTAAATGCACTATCTTTGCTATTTAACAATACAATATTTCCCTGGTTAGTTGTCCTAGTCCTCATGTTTGGTGAGTCGTCCTGAATGACTTCCTCTCGTGACATCATGTTTCTGAAACATCTTGTTCATTTCCACATATTTTTCCTACCTGAAGTGAAATTTTGGTATATTAAGTTTTATTTGCGAAGTTTATTGAATTTTGCCAGGGGTAAGATTAAGGTCCTAAAACAGCCAGAAAGGGAAATATGAAATCAGCTGCACAGGGTCTTAAACACGTTAACCTGCCGACACACCAATCACAGATCTTCCATCATGATTGGTAGACGGCAAAAGAGGAATCCATATATAGATCACGCGATGCGATCTGACATCTCTCGAGAGTGGCTTCCTAAGGTCGCCTCCTCATGTGAAGGTGGAGGATATCTTTACAAGAGTGCATTGTCCTGGATCAAGACTGGCAGAGGAGATTTGATCTGATGGAGAGAGCCAACGACTCCTCCACCAGAAACGATAATAGCTCCAGAAATCATGGTTGCCTCGGCTGCAGGGGCGCTATCAGAAATAAGAATGCTTCCGAAATTTCTGTAGCACCCTGCCCACCACTTTGAATGGAACGGCCCAAGTCTTCAGATCTGCAACCAGAGACACAAAGGTTGGCCGAGCCTTTCCTGGGTCCCCCAGAGGAGGAAAGAAAATAGGTTGTGAAAC